TTATTTTTATGATCATTAAATAATCAGAAGCCACTTTTAAACTTTGTAATACTCTGTCAAATACCCGAAACCATATTTAAAAATAAAATTCAAAATACTGTTAAGTGATATGGAGCATTTTGTAACATTATTTTCCACAGTTCCCAGTTTTTCAAATCAAATCTGAATGCAAACAATATTATGCTCATCAAACATTATCCTTGTAATTTTTCATTTGCTGTTAAAAGAAAAATAGTATACTCATAAAGCAGCTATTGTTTTTTCATCTTAACTCCATTTCGTGTTACAGCAACTGCGATTCTTTTGTTCTAGTCATTTAGCCTACTTCTATCACATTATGGAGAAAATGTACCGTAAGCCCTGAATAAAGAATAAACATCGTATGAAATGTATCAACTTTCCTTGATGGGTGGGGATAGAAGATGTTTAAAAGAGTTCCCGCCTCGTAAATAGTTTGCTCCGAAAAATGATAAGATAAAATAAGTACACAAATTCTGGTCAATAGTAATGGCGAAGTGTTGAATAGTGTTTATATGTAGTTCAAAGATGTCAAGAAAAGGATCTGAAGAGTTTTATTTTCATAGGTCACGTAGTATTTGGAGGAAATGTGCAATTTCAGAATTACAAAATGCTTTGAAGGTAACATTAATTAATTAAATGTAATCTGTTAAATTTATCCTTTTTTCATACCATCGTAAAAAATTAATTTGGAAGTTTTCAAAGTATTAGTGAACCCAAAATAGTTCCAATGTAAAGTAATTTTGAAATTTATATGAAATTAAGTTGATTACTCAAATTCTGAAGTAAATTTATTGTAATTTTTAAACGTCGATGGATGAAATAAATGAAAGCCAATCAGCTTGAAGTTTAAAATTTTAAAATTGAATTTTAGATTGACATTAATTTTAGTTACATCACTAACGCATTTCGAAATAATCAGTCCCAGATCTTTTTTCTTAGGCAAATAAAATTATTACGAATGTTATTAGGCTTCACATCTTACAGTAAATGGTCTTGAAGCAGGCCTTATCAAAATTCAATGAAAATTGTTTTTAAATATTCTTCAAATCGTAAACTGAATTTTGCTATGAGAAGCAAGCCCATTAGAAAAAAAAATTGCTTTAGGACTTTATGTATTTTATATCACGAAATTTATAAAACACATTAAAAAATCTACGAAGAACTACTTTTATAAAACATTTTTAAATAACTGTAATATTAATTTTTTTCGACAGGAAAGTTGTTAAATTTTAACGGCTACCATTTCATGCATATATTATTATCCTACATCTCATTTTATATCAGAGAGAGAATGAAAGGAATATTTATATTTTTTTTTTTTTTTTTTTTTTACTTTTTACATGCTCCGCCTTTTGGCATTATACGGAAAGAGAGGGATGCCTCGTGGAGGTCTTGTTAAGTGAACTCGTTCGTATCCACGTCACACATGGGGAGAACAACAAAAACGCCCATGCATCCAGGCCGTTCGCTGGGATTTGAAACCCGGACCAAACTACCAGTGTTCATCGGCCTTTACTGCTAGACCGCTGGTTGGCATATTTACAATATTAAAAGAGATTTCTAACCAAACTATCAAAAGAAGCTAACTGATGCATTTAATGTAATCGTTGTGTAATCCGTAATAATAAAACTTATTCGAAATAACACTTGCCTAGCATATTTCATAAGCAGCATTTTAATAGCATTTTGGTAATGCTTGCATTAATATCAAATACAGAATTGGGAGATAAATCAGGTTTATATTGCTGTTATTTTTTTTTAAAGTTATCAACTTTGAGAGACTCGTGCTGATTTCTTTGACATTTTTAGATTTTGGAGAAAACTCTTTCTAGCTCACATAAGACTATGTTTATTTTATTCACTTTAAATTTGATTTAGAAATCCGATTTCGTAATCAGTCAAAATTAGGGGACTAAGAACAATGAAGAATAAAATCCATCATCAATTAGCAGCCATACGTTAGCTAACAAATACAAAAATTTTTGAAAAATCTCCAAAATTCGTCACATTATGTAAGAAATTCAAACCAAAAGCTTCATTTTCCTATTTATTTGTATAGCAATTTAAAGATTTTTTTTTCGCTAAGAAATCGAATATCCCTCTGCCAGATGAATTTGTGCATGAAAAAAATATGCTAATTTCTAGAGTCGCAAATGTTTTTTCACCTGAGACTAGAGGGTAAATTCGCGCCTGTAGTTGTTTATATCCAGAAATATAATGCACAATATCTGTATAGTTCTAAATTGAAAAAAGGTTAGGAAATTCGGATTTGATCACTCAAAATAAACAAAAATCACTCAAATTTTAAAAATTACAGATTGCAATGTTGCTGTTATCGTTTTCGAGTCCATATTTCATGAGAGAATGTTTGCCAGCGTCTCAAAAACTTCTACTTTCCAACCACCACGAACCACATGAGAGGACTTTAGCTTCCATTTATTTAGAGTGTCCCATGTCTCAAAGACACTATAAATTTGAAAACATTCATGCCTTCTCCGATTTCGAACCCTAGCCCTTCGGGGACACTACTGTCCCGTCTGGGAAGTAGCTGATTTTAATGCAATTCGTATAAAGAGATATTTAACTTATTTTCAAGACATTACTGAATTTCAATATTTCATTTACTGGAGTAAGATCTTCAGTATTCTTTTTGAAATATTTTAATGTATAGTTAATATTTGGTATCCATGTTTGACAGTTTTTCGTGTCCAGGGTCCTATATAACAATTTAAGTCAATCGAAATGTATTTCACCTCTGCAAGAATGACTGGCAACGTTAAAAATGTTCTTACAAATATGTATACGAAATTTTCAAATTCATGTGATGGAACTAAAAACTATCTTCGTGAATTATCTTTAAAATATAAACTGCTTTAATGCCCGTAATTATGAACTCTTTCAAAACTATGAAGTTCTGATGAAATTTATGCAGCATTTAATGTATCGATCATGTAATTAAGTTACAAGCTGCTTCTTTAGTCGTCTAAATCCAATAGTATTATTTATAGTATTATTAACTCAATAGTTTAGAACTGAAAATACATATCGGATTTAGTATTTCACCACAATAGCTTATCTAATAAAATTAAAAAAGAAAATTATTGTGGAAAAAATTTAGAAATCGAAAAAAATATTCAGAACCAGCAATCTTTTTAATAACTATTTGCTACGTAATTATACCCGGGGCTGTCGAAGTTAAAAAAAAGATAAATACAAATATAATAAATAAAAATATATTTAACAGTGCTACATAAATACTTTAAAAACATTAAGCTATAATATTAAATTCAACAAAAAAGGGAAAATGTCACTTCTTGAAACAACATTCAGTTTCCTCACTGGGCCTAATCGGAAGAATTATGGTAAATCCTTCCTACTGGTGGCAAGTAGATAAGACCATCGAACACTACTGGTAGATCGACATAGTAAAAATCTCCATGAATGGGCCGGCTGCATAGGCTTTTCGTGACGTTACTCATGCGTAACGTAAATGCAAGGCTGGCGTTAGAGCCGGTACAACCGTTGCCGCCGCACCTGGCAGCAGAATTTAGGGGCGGCAAAACTTTTAGAATTTACAGAAACATCGAGCATCAAATTTTAGAAAAAGAATTTTCTTTTTTTTTTTTTAATTTAGGGGAGGCAATGGGCAGCAAAATTTAGGAAAGACAAAATTTTTAGAATTTAGGGAATCATCGAGCAGAAGATTTGAGGTTCCAAAGATATTACACTGAACGGCAATTTGCCTAGCGCCGGTTCTGCGTAAAAGCGAGTCAGTTAATCTTATAAAGTTCTCCTCGGAGATATTCATCCGCTTAAATAGATGCCTTAAATAGATTGTTTTGTCGTATTCAAATAAACGAAAAACCTCAAAAGATATTTTCGTTTTAGAAGCTATTCTTAGCAGCTGAACATTAATTTCTAGGCTTCTTGTTTTCCTTTCAATATTTATGATTATCTTGTCACCGAGTAAGATTCCTGAATGTAGTCTGCTAAGTTTGTTTCAGGTTCAAATTCCCATTTTCGGGTTAGTTTAAGTGAAGGTTTTTCCTAATGTGAAGCCTGAAAAATCAGTTTTCCTTGAAAATTTCACCACGAAGAGTCTGTCCTGCGTGGTTGATCCCGAAGCAATTTCTGACCAACCGCAGAAGCCAAACAATATTTCTAAATATGGTTTTATTATTAATGTCATTTAATGTTGTCTTACATTACATCTCTTCATCCATTAGCCGTCATCGATTATCTCATGTGGCTTTCAATGTATTAAATTTTGTGAATTTTATATGTAGTCCAAGAATAATTTTTTATTCAAAATATTACCTGCAACATCACACACCTAAGTTCATTTATTTCTCTTTCTACAAGTAAATTTATTTCTAATATTGTAAAGTTTTTTTTATTGTCAGTTCTCTTAGAATTAGTGAGAACGTTTATGTGGATTCTTTCATAACCAATTTCAAAACTTTATTTTAAATTTCTTCGCTGTTAAACATTTTTTAATTGTTTCACATAAATAAAGCATTTTAAAAAAGGAAAAGTCGACGCTTGTTTTGTTTCTTCGCATGTTAATAGTTAAATGCCGACATTTAGTTACATTCAATAAAATCCCAACATATCTTCTTCTGTTGCCATTCCAATGGTGCAAAATTTTTTCTTTATTTACGAATTTTCGATTTATCATCTGGAATTTTAAATCCATAGAATTATATGCTAATATTTAGAGAAAATGAAACTGGATTGCGATCTTCTAAACCACTAGCAAAAATACATGCATAACAGGACAGACTCGAATTATGAGTCTTATTCATTAATAAACATGGGTTTCAAGGTTTAAAGTAAACAATGATAATTTTTTAAAAAGGTATTACTAATTTTTGCTGATCATTTGGCTCCCCTGTTACACGGTCACCTGAGGCAAGTGATTCCATTCTAATTATTATTTCGGCTCCGTTAATTTCTATACAAAATCTATTTTCTTTCAGGACATCGACCATTACAAGATTTAGAAATCAGAGTTGGCAACAGTTCTTCCGTCCAAGGCAATAGGCTTTGTGCGTGGTATCCGAAAACTCTAGGTAAGCGTATTTTATGTCTTACTTGACCCTTTTTTAACAAAACAAATGAGGCCCTTGATTATTGTTTACATACCCTTTATAGGTCTCTAATTCAACTGTATCATTCCGAATCAAGTTCCTGCACATTCTCTTTACTGATAACAAGCAAACTTTCTCTTTAAATGAACCCAATTCAAAGGTCTTTCGTGTTAGGTCTTTCGTGTTAAGTTATATTCAATCATTTCTGCTTAGGATATTGCTATATTGTCCTGTCATAGCATGACCTCGCTTCCTAATTAAACATACTGAACTGTTTGACACGAGAAACGGTATTTCATTTCCTATTGCTAAACTTATATGCATTTCTTAAATACTAAATTAAATGCAGTTTAATTGTAGAGTCCAGTGAATGAACTTCTGTCTGAATACTGGAGTAAGTAGTAAACTACGCAGAAGAAGGGTTAAAGTACCCTTTATTAAATCTTTGAAAAATGTGCAATGCGTCAACTCGACGCCTCTGCTTGGTCGGTAACTGAAAGTCAGATAATTGAAAGTAAAAGTTGAAAAAATAACAAGTGATAAAACTAGCCTACAGGGCTCAGCGAGATCCCGTAACTTAAACCCCCTTTGAAGCTAGTGGCAGCAGATAAATGCAATTAAGCCACTTGAACTAGCAATAAGCAAACGTACCTACGGCAGAGTCGGCAGCTATCCTATCTAGCTAACTCTTCCTATCTCCTACCGAAACTCGGCTTTACTACTTCCTTCAAAGTAGAAAATTTGCATTCATTCACCCTCGCTACCACATTTAACTATTCTGGCACTGACAATTAGGGGAATGAAGGCTTACATGAAAGGCCTAAACTCAAACTTTAAATTGTTAGTTAAAATAAACATAAATCCCTACATAATAAAGAACGAAATGCTGGTATTTTTTAGGGTCTAGAAACTTTACACCGGCGCCATTTCACAGTGGCCGTTTTGCTGTCGAGACGTTTCACCGTCAAGACTTATTTTTCTTTACATCTTTCTTTACAGTCTTATTTTTCTACTGCATTATATCTTGCCGTATTATACTCGGATTAAATTTATTTAATTTAATAATTCTGTTTACCTTTTATATACTTAATAATGGTTGCTTGTAATATATATAGTTATTTACAAGTATGAGATATAAAGACATTACATATAGTTGCAAAATTTTGTCAGTATCAAAGAGAACAGAGGTTAAACTTCTGACGTAACAGAAATTCTATTATCGATTTTAAAATTATGCGGGCACAATATTTACATAATTCGCCAAAATTTCTTGAAATTTTAATCGGTTAATTCAGAGAAATCACATTGTCAGCACAGCACATTACTCTCTTAAAATTAATATGTCATGAGTAACGGTGTATTTGTATAAAAATGTACACAAAATCATTTTAAATATTATTTTATATAAAATGTTTATCAAAATAAATGAAATTAAAAAATTAAATTCATACTATTAAACTAAGGATGTTAAGGCTTATCATTATTTCATAACCTGAAATTCATGAATTTAGCTATTGTGATTTTAATAAATTTGGTTTCCATTTTTTGGCTGGTTAAGTTATTAAAATGAAGCATAAGACGGCTTTTTAACAAAGGCAGAAGTGTCTTCGTAGAGAATTTTCTGTAGGATTACAGCTCATAAATACCGGCATATTGCACAAACTTCCACGAAATTTTCCTTACACCAAATTTAAACCTGTGTTTAGCTATAAAGGTTCAGCGGTTTTATCCGCTCAGTCACGGTTGAGCTTCCTTTTTATTCTTTATTAAAAGGAACATGCTGATATATGTGTATGATAGGTTCCTTGCTTCCCATTGTAGCATAATCACATCAAATGCGAGTGTGTTATATCTAATAGATTCTTCTTCTTTGTTTTCAGATGATGGAGTAACCAAAGATTTTGACTGCGCTTATCCAATTGTAGGACGCTACGTTTATGTTCAAATGGTAGGAATCCAAGGATCTCTCACTTTGTGTGAAGTCATGGTCTTCACAACACAAGGCAAGATGACAGTTTCTGATCCCCCTTTTTTTTACGTTATGATAATGATGTGAAACATCTGAAAAATTCTTATTAATTCAACTCATTTCCGTATTCGTATAGTAAACTGACACCCCATTAGTCTTTTTCATATTTAAATTTTCTCCAACAGTTTCAGAAGCTGCATTTTAATCTTTATTCATAATTATTACTTAATATTACAATTATTATCACTTAATATTGCAATTATTTGCACAAATCAGAATGAAGAAACTGCCTCGAATTTCCTCGTTACAGAAAAACACACACTGAACAATTCTGCAACGCAAAGAGGTGTGATCCAACATGCCATCTGGCCACTTTCAAATTAAACATATTGTTTATATCACTTAAAACAGGCATCTTGTTTTTAAAGTGTGTCATTCTATTCCGTTCTTTGTTTACCGAAATAGCAATTCTTAGAGGTATATTTCTTACGGTGAGCAAACCTTTCCTATAATAGAAATGAGCTGATGATGAAAGTGTGTTTTCTGCTGAATTTGTCAAGTTATTTCATATATCTTTCTACCAAAAACTATTAGGTGAGTATTGCCTGTAATGAAAATGTGTCCTCTGCTGATGGAAAGAAAACTGATTAATTTTGATAAATACCGTTCTTGAAAACACGCGATCAGAGATGCATAAATGAGATCTTGCAAGTCGCAATCTCGAGCGGCCCACAAATTCTTAATTAATCTAAAAAAAAGACATATTTTGTATTTCACGGTGTAGAACCCTCAAGAGTTCAGATGAGGTGGTTGCCCAGCTAGTTCATAAATCGGCTGTTATGTATGATTAACTTTTATCACCATACTGCTCAATTTTTCGAATAACATTTTAACGAATAGAAAGAGGTCATGATTAGAAGAGCCTGTGAGCAAGACACCGACTATTAATGAACAATAGGTTAATATTTGGGCAAAATATGGTCACAATTAATGTTATCAATAATGAGAAAATCGTGCTCGAGGAATAAGTTTGAATATTTATTCATTTACATAGTATCAACTTGAACAAATGATTAGTAAACACAAGCCAATAAAATAAATGTTTTTCTACGATTTAAAACAAAAGGACGAAATCAGGTTTTGGAAATTAGTTTGTCAAGAAATGAGTATATTTATTATTATTTAAGTGTTTAATTTATTTATGCAGAATTTACCTTATAAATATTTGCACACTAGTGATTATTACAAATGTTATTGATAAAGAGTACAAGCAAATTACAAATCTAATCACAATATGAAAAACAAATCATCTCATTGTAAACTTTTAGCGATTTCGGACCTTTTCCACTCTGCGTTGTTGTTGTAGGTTTTATTGTTTTGATAAAATTTGTAAATTATGTCCGAACAAAAATATTTAATTTCTTTCAATTAAATCTTACTTAATCATTTCTTCAAAAAAAAGTTTGTTATATGGTCTTATTATGACTTTCTAATCCTAAAAAAAATATTGCTCTGATTCGTCAGACATTAAGACAAGACAGACTTTCCACTAATTTTGTTTCGACTCAAGTGCAACAATGGTAATCTTAAAGATATTTTTTTTTCTTTTTTAATTTTCTTTTTTAATTTTAATTTTTAATAATCTTTTTTAAATTTTTTAAAATTTGTTTAATTAATTTAATTAAATACTTTTCTTTACCCCAGCCTGACTAATTAACTTGGCAACAGAATCAATCCAGTTTCTTGGATTGCTGATAAAAAGGAAGTTAATATATATCAATTTAATTATCTGTCAAGAGACATAATTTCAGTACTTCACACACACACTATTTAATACATTTAACTTTTAATGAATTAATTTCAAAACTATGTTTTCATTTTTCATTAATTTTAATTCGTTTCGATCTTCAAAACACTTTTCTTTCAAATTATTACAACTTAGAACAATTTTGAAAATCTAAATACAGAGCATCACGTTATTTAAAACTCTAGCTACATGGTGCACGGTTGTCTCATGTATCGTCCTACAAACGTTTGAATAAATATCCATATATATATATATATGTAAGATATAATAAATATGATAGCTGTTTCAAAAAAATAATTGACGACCTCAAAATTAACATTCTAAATTTGGTAATCTGCTCCCTAAATTCATCTCTTCTCACAGGTTCCAGACTTTTCTATCTTATGTAATGTTTTAATGCAGATGCCTCTTGTCCAATCAAATTAATTCTAAACCAAAACTGTGAACTGAAACTTTCACACCCCCAGCCTTCTTCCTATGAAAGTACTATAACCTTCCCCTTTTTGGCGTTAGCTCTCCTTCTGGTAAGACGCTTTTCATCCATGGTGCTGCCGCTTACTTGCTTAAGATGATGTCGTACTTCAAAATGGGAGTTATTCTATTCAAATATTATTAAGAAATATCTTGTCTGAAAAAAGATTATTTGATATGCATTGAAAAAATAAAGATTGTGATTTTTCAAGATATGTTGTGCTAACACCTTCAAGCCACTACGATCTTCTCGGTCATCTACGCAGTATCGTAAGCTGTTGGGAGGTCCACTGTTTTCATCTACGCATTTGATCATTACCTTGTATATATACATATATATATATATATATAGTTTGATGCTTACCGGCTACATCAAATAACTTTTTCTTGGCGATATTTTTTTGCAGTCTTCAGCAACATTTTCTTAGCCCTTATCTATTTCTTACTTATTTTGTCTTAAAATAGACATTCGTAGCGATAATCAATTACATTTTTGCTCTCATCTTTCTCTACATCAATTTTGTTCGTTATTTTGCTTCACTTTAGCAGCTAAGCATTTAATTAATAGTGAGACGCCAAACAGTTTATAAGATTCTTTTCCAGGCGGGATCAAAAACTACAGCCACAGAGATAAACAGATAAAGTTACCAAAATGTCTTTAGTGATACTTTGCAGTCATAAAAATTCTGGGCACCAAAAAATTATCACCAAGAAAATGTGCGCTGCAATAACCGATAAATACCAAAATCTGATAACTGGAATCAAAATATTCTATCTTAAAATTAATTTTATGTTCTTTAGAAATATCCTCCGGTAGATGTGGCAACCAATTAGAACCTCTGGAACTGACTACTTTTAGCAGGACGTGTTACGAATTCCAAGTACAAAAAGGTGGATCATTCGATACTGCAGAAGATTACTGCCGGGCTCGTGGGGGCCTTCTTCTTCATGGGGTCCGGGACCTCACTCACCACTTCATTGCTTCGGAGCTGGAAAGGCGAAAAGAGTCTCTCAAATCGAAATTGGTCTGGCTTGGCGCACAGAGAGATCAGGGGCTGCGGGCCAGAACCTGGCACTGGGTAGACGGTAAGTGGCAACGTTTAATTTCGACTACTGTAAAATCTAGACTTGAATAAGATAAAAGAGGAAGATGCTATAAAAAAATAGTGGAATTGATCATTAATGTAATATTCTAAACTCGATAAACGAGACATGTGTAACGGGGATATGAACAAGTTTCCCTAAGGAAGGCCTCCATAAATCAGCATATATCAGCACTGTTGCCACTCGGAAAAGTGATTGAAGTAATTCTGTCCAGTTTTTAAATTTAATGTTGCTCTTGGATACTGGACGTTTGTCGAGAGAAGGCAACGAGAAGTTGGTTAATTTATTTATTAGGATAATTAATATTTGTATTAAGGGATATTGCTTATTTCATTGTAATTTTTTTATATATAATGCATTTTTTTTTTTTTTTTATTTTTATTTATTTATCTATTTTTTTTTTGTAAAGTTGTTCTGCAGAGTAAATTCGGTGCAGTTTTTAAATTTAATGTTTGGTGTTCCCTTTAGGCATTTTTCCTGTACATTTAAAAGCCAGACGAAGACTGGCAGAGTAGAGGCTAGTATTGGAATAAAACAAAATAAGAAAACTAAAAAGACGATATTTGAAAATAAACAAATATAAAAAATAAAATGGAGTTAGAAATGATTTATGTATTTTTAAAGAAGCATCTCTGTCAAGATAGAAAATACAAGTACTTTTAGCCATTTTTATTTGCTTGCTCCAATGATTTTGGCAGTAAAGAAAATGATTGTGTCCGTGCCTATAAAAAGCGTTGTTGAAAACTAACCGGAAAATTTAGAACTAAATTAAGGCCTTCACTGTGATTTTTTTCCCTCTCGTCCTTCCTTTCGTTTACGCTTTTGAAAGTAGTTTTACTTTATTTTATTTATTATCTATTTTTAGATTATTAATTTACTTGTTCAACATTACAGTATTACAACGTATAGCTTTAATATTATCCATTATATGCAAGCTGTAAAATAAGCATATATAATCTTTGATCCCTTATAGTAAAATAGGTCATCTATGAGAGCTTCCAAATGAAATATAGTAAAATATGCAACTTTTGTTTCAGCTAACGCATTATTTTTACGTTAATTTTTTCGTGTGATTCCTATTTCTTCTGTCAACCGTCATCAAAATGCAAATTAAGGTAAGTTTAATAGCGAGCAAATTTGTTCTTGAAAAGAGTCATGGCAACTTACGTGGGATCTGGCAAATCAAACATAGTTAAATCGCATTATCAAGACGATTAAAAAAGAAATTAAGAAATTCCGTGAGAAGTGGGAAGAAAAAATTGCAGATATAGAGCTAAATGATGAATCCTTCTAAAAATTATGTGTAGCGTGTATACAAGCCAGTTTCCCTTTGAAAGTTTTCCGCAAAGGCATCCCTCCTCTTAGGCAGATAACCCTCAAGGCTTTGCCATATCTGAATAAACCAAACCAAACCAAACCTTCTGAAAATTTCTCAAATCTTTTAAGAAGAAGCGTAAGTATAATCAGCCTATTACTGGTGTGAACTCAGAATACTCAAATGTTGACAAAGTGAGAATTTTCTGTGAACACACAGAACATCAGTTCACTCCCAATGTGGCACTGGCGGACCCAGAGTTCATCATGCAAGTTGAAAATTTTGTTGTTTTTTAAATCTGTGACCCATTAAGCCCTATACCTATTCCATCAAGCCCTATACCTGACTGCGCTACTTTTGGTGAAATTCAAAATATCATACATAAGTTCAACATTAAAAAACATCGGGCCTTGATAGAATTCCCAACAATATGTTATGCAATTTACTTTACAACACTATCGTCAGTTTCACTAGAATTATCAATGCCTGCCTGATTCTAAGTTATTTTCTCAATTCTTGGAAAAGTGCCAAGATCTTTGCTCTTGCTAAACCTGAAAAAGAGAGCACCAAAGTGAGGAATTTTCGCCCTATAAGTTTGCTTTCCAATCTCAGCAAAATTTACGAACGAATTAGCATAAAAATTATGAAACTATAGCTACTTCCATCCGATCAATACGGATTAAAGAAGCAACTGTGTACTTCAAAGCAACTAGTCAGGATAGTTAAATTTATCGCGGCAGTTCTGAACCATAAGAAATGCACACACTCTTTATGTTAGACATGGCGAAAGAATTCGGTTGCGTCTGACATAAGGGGTTGACCTACAAACTGATCATGATAAACTTTACTCGGGAAATTATTCTTCTCCTCAATTCCTTCCTGACTGACCTAACATTTAGTGTCAGTCAAGGAAATGTCTAATTCAACCTTCAAAAACATCACTGCAAGAGCGCCTCAAGATTCCTGTCTCGATTCAAGATGCCATAACGGTAAAAATTCCTTTATTTAGGGCAAATCAATGGCCGAGAGGACGAGGCCACTGAGCACTGATAATTCTATCTGGATTCGAATCCCAGCGAAAGGGCTAGCTGCGTAGGTGTTTTCGTGGATTTCTGTGTGTAATGTGAATTCCAAGAACGCTTTCTCTCCTTATGCCAACAGATCATCCTAATGTGTTTTTCCATAATCAAATAATCCAATCTAATTTTCTCCTTCTTTCAGATACTCCTGTGCAACAATTTCTGTGGGCCGAGGATCAGCCAAACAACTACAATGGTCAGCAAAATTGTATCGTTCTCGATGGCGGAAGGCGGTGGCTTTGGAATGATGTGACATGCGATCTTGATTACCTGCCTTGGGTCTGCCAATATAGTAAGAAAAACATTGGAAATTGGTTTTTTGTATATTTCCTTTGTGCTGATAAAATGTCCAAATGAGTAAGACTTTAATGAGTTTTTGATGACCAAACTCAACGATTTGAAAGCGAGACTGTGTGGAATTAAAACATTTTTATTTCCAGCGCGAGACTGTCTGTCGAAAATTGTGAAGATATGCTGTTTTTAAATATCTTGTGATTTGTCTGTTGAATTGAATTTTATGTAGCATAAGTGCGAAGAACGTGATATTTAATTAATAAAGTTAACCCAAAACACGTTAATAATAATAATAACGTTTTGCAAGCCACCTTGCTAAGAAAACTGAACATTGATATGATAAATTAAGAAAAGACCGAAAAAATAGAAAAAAATATGTTTATGCCAACACTTTACACTGCAGTGGTAATTATAAACATATGCTACAATCTGCTTTTAAAACTTCTGTGACTGTACTGTTGAATTGAGTATGGCATAAAAGCGAAGAAAACTATGCCTAACTATAAAGCTAAAAAGACAAAAATAAATATCCTAGTTGTATTGAGTACAGCAGCAGGCTGATAGACTGTAAGTTCAGCGAGAGCGAAAAAAATCTCAATCAACCTTTTTGGGCGTCCGTTCAAATTTGAAACCTTTCAGATTTAATCATTATTATTATTATCCTTTATTACTCGTATATGCATAAATATTTAATATATTATTCTTATACGGCAAGCACCTAGCCAGATGCGGCTTTTTAGCTTGCATAAAATTTAAATCTTTGAAGTATAACGTGTGAGACCTAATTATGCAGTTTATAAGCGAACGCCATCCAGTCTCAAGTAAGTCAGGTCTTAAGTTCATACGAAATTTTGATCTCAATTCTAGTACTCGTGCTGAGTAGTGTTGCCATCTGTGGATAATAATTTATCGTCACGGTCTGAAACTGTGTGCACCATAACTGATATAAGCGCTTCTTCTTCTCTAGCACAAACACCCACAATGCAATTCTCAAATTTGTATTAACACTGTCCCAAAAACATCACATTTATATCACAATAACTTAACCAAGATAATAATGTTTAATGTTTTTCCATTCAATTCTATTTGTTTATTTGTGTACATATACTTATATTTATATTTCACCATCAACTGTAATGTATGGTATTGTATTGTAATGTCATTGTCATTAGCATCTGTATCTCCCGGCCATGCTCTGTACCACAATTTCTGTGTGCCCTAATGATAACTTTTCAATTAACACAGATGCGGGGCGTAAGTGCGCCCTGTGGAGGTGTTCTTCTCAAGACGGTTAGTGTCAAGGAGCGACACAAGTTCTTCCAATAACGATGTGTTGGTGCCTCCCACACTTATTCCTGTCCTGTGGATAATAATTGCAACCATTTCAGTTGTAATTACCTTTTAACTCAATTAGAGAAATTAATACTGATCGCTGTTATTAAAACAGAGAAATAAATGTTCTTTATACATCTGTAGCGTAAAGTAAACGTAATATTGAAGCTAGAACTGGATATTACTACTAATTTGGGTTGTAAAATGTCGCATGCTATACACTTGAAGACGTTATGCAATGTAATCCAAATATAATTACAGAAGTTTTTAAATCACCGTGAACCTACGAATTTCACAGAAAGCAGGGAGCTTTCTAATTTGTTTTACTCAGCATTTTTGTATTCCAATAGTATTCCAATTCAGTAATTCGAATCCATTTTCTTTGATGCCATGACAAACAATAATTAATTTTCTCGTAATGATTTTTTTTTTTCTTTGAGTTTTATTTCTTCTCGCCATTTTCACAGGTCCCTCTAACTGCGGCAACCCGGACCGGCAAGAGAATTCTACGGTCCTAGAAAAAGACTTTCGACTGGGTCAGTCGGTCGTCTACCACTGCCCTACGGGGAACAAAGTTGTCGGCAATAGGGTACGAAGATGCGAGAGCAACGGGTTCTGGAGTGGCACCGCGCCCACCTGCCAGTGTGAGTATAAATCAAATTTTTTTGGATAATTGTTACCACCGGTAAATAGGGTTTGTTTTTCCTTCCTTGGGAAATAGGTAATGATAAACTAGCCCAATGAGACACGCCTTTAACTTTTTCTCATAACACATAGGACAGATTGTAACATGGTGAACTTTCCTGCCCCTTTTAGAGATCGATCCCTTGAAAATACATTCAACTCTCCATTTACGAGGTAATACCTGGGACGACGTTCACAGTAAACTCAAAATCGCACAGTGAAAAGATAGTCAAAAGGCACAATTAAGAGAAATAACCCGTGCTATGATAAACAAGAAATACTTATTAACGACTCACCTGTATTTTCAAGCAGTTTAAGCTGGAGAATAAGTTTGTTTGATAAAAATAAATTAAATCACTATCCGAAGCAAAGAGAAACATACTTCTAAATTAAACGTCATTAGAAATGAAGAGATTTATTAAATGACAGTTTGAATAATCTTCTTTGTCTTTTCTTTTTTATATTTTCCGTATGCTGTGATTTTTAACAATAATTTTTCCATTACTCAGCCATTCACAAATTTCATTTTTTAGGCAGGCCCCGGTTAATCTACCGCTGGTTAATCAGGAACTGATTGTATGATTGATCGATAATGATTGATTGATGCAAATTTCATTTTTTAGGCACGGCCTGGTTAATCTGCCGCTGGTTAACCAGGAACTAATTGTATGCCATAGATTGATACTATAGATTAGAACCGATGGTTAGTTAATAATTTTTTTACCAATAACAGGCAACTATATATAACATTGGTAAAAATCTTAAATGTTTATGGGTGCGAATCCCGGAGGAGGCATGGATGTTTGTAAGCGCTTAGTGTCTGTGCGGCAAGGGGACTTTGAAAATATACAACGAGGCGAAAGTCCTCTCGAGGGATTAGTGGTAGGAGAAGAGGGATAAGAAACCTCGGACCACCCCCTGTCTTGTACTTCTTCAAAGCTAAGGTGTAACTGCTAAGTTAGTTAGGCGGAGTTATACCTGTACGACCAGTGGTTGAAATTCTGGTATCCGCCCACTTCTACCTGAACCCGTTACAAACTGGCTATTACGTTTGCCAATTTTGACAACTAAGCGCTTTGGCCTTAACATGTAAGTACAAAATAAAACTAATAAAAATGAGACTAGTGACCACTTACCAACTAAAACATTTATAAGCTAGTAAATATACCTATAAACACGCCAATGCAAATTTCAAATAGAAGAGTTAAATAACGTAAATTTAGGTTTAAATTTAAGAATTATGAAATTAAAAAAAAAAAAAAAAAACTCAAAAAATCAGCACATCTTTCCAGAAGATTGTGTGACTCTGAAAATCCTGTATGGAACCGATTTCTTTTGTCAAAATTTGTGATAACGATTATGATCCACGGTTTTCATGCAGCCCTAAATTATTCCTCGAAGAAAAACTTATAACTCTTACTTTTAATCAATTCTGAGCATGAAAATTATTTGATTACCTCTTATTTAATGTAATACAAAACTTTCACATGCATTGCTGTGAACTCTGCTTGAAATAAACCTAAAGCTATCGTTTTTACCATGGCAAAACACAAGATCCGAAATCGCAAAGCTGATGAAATCATTTCTCGGAAGTTTCAGGTGGTAGCCTTACGGTTAAGTTACTCTGACTCCAAGCAACAGAGCGTAACTTATTTGAAGGTCGGCCAACATACTGTTCCGATAGCTGAACATGTTTTTAAAAATTATGATGATGAATTTTTGTACGTCACTCCATCAGGTACAGAGTTCTTTTGATAAGTTCGCATTTCTGATCTAGCTCATGGAGATGACTCATTGTAAAACTCCAGCTTTCCATAATTTCTTGAACTGAGAACCATCATTTTTCTCATTCCGGCTTCAAATTTCCTCGTCTTATTTTCAAACTTCTCTTATCTGATACTTTGTAAACCATCATGTCATGAATTACATACATCATCTCATGAAAAGTATTATTAAACTGTATTTCATAAAAAAAACGCTATTCTCGTTTAACATTATGTCAGAATTCTTGAAAAAACAATGTTAATCAGAATAATATTAAATCTTGTTTGGCTCACCTTAAAGGCATTCGAAAATGAATTTTGAATATTTATTAATTATATTAGATGGCAACTATTTAAGTTAGCAGTTCCATTTTTATGCATTTTACAATGAAAATCCTTTCATAAAAAGTCCTTTTTGGTGCATTTATTTTATTTTAATATATTTACTATCTGATACATGGGGTAATAAAGATTTGTAAAGTTTTTTTATTATTATTTCTAATGGCTAAGCCAAAAAATATAAAGAACTAAAATCTTACAAACAGAAGAACAAACAATAGAACTAAGAACAAAAAGACAGAAGTCATTGCCTAAGGAGCGCTCTCGCCTCACAGTGTCTCCATTCTTATGTAAGACCACGAAGAATAGGCAAATCTGCCTAAGCCCCTGCCTATTTCTTTTCCAGAATTACAAAGTCGGCAAATAGGATCGCTTGAAGTGCTTGTGCGCTGCAGATGGGCAGCAAGACAATCATGGTCTGTAGAGAGACGGAAAGCCGCAACTGCATTGAGTCTTGGGCTATCGGGAATAAGAGGACTTATCATTCTCCAACTTTTTAACGCTCTACGAGTCTGAAGCTCTCGTAAGATTAGACGTAAACAAACGTTTTTAGACGTAAACAGTTTAATCCTCCAACAAGAAATGGCTGTATTAGGATGTTGTAGTAAACTGGCATTATTGCTCCAAAGGCCACAATGGCCAGGCATCCACTGGAGAACATTTTGTTTCCTCTTTAAAAGTGAGAGTTAAGATTTGTAAAGATCTCGGCTAAATCCTATGAACCGAGCTTTGCTGAAATGCCTACCCACGGGAAGTGGTACAAATATTTCGACAAATGAAAACTGTAATCGCCGTTGCCACTTAATAAAACTAAAACTTTACCTTGTAGAGTTCCTCACTTTGTAAATGCTAATTTACAGTTGAACGTGAAGAATTTAAGAACTGATAAGCGAATAATCGCTTGAGTTCGTGCAAAAAGAAACAACTACATGGAAGGGTAAATAACCCTTTATTACTTAGATAAGATTTAACAGAACTCCGTCTTGGAGTGTACAATAAAAGCCGACACTTGGGTTTGAACTTAAGAGGCTAAGAAGTAAACTAAAACTAATCTAAACTAAAGAGATATAGCCGAAGCTATCAGGATTCTAATCGAGTTGGCCCTTTTACGCTAATTGACTGCGAAGCTATCAAGGGCCTAAGTACGGTCGATCGTAATAATAGCTTACGAGAAAGAAGCCTAAAATGGCGGACGCGTGCAGACAGAATACCTGGTAACTCTCTCGCTTAGACCGAAGAACTTCGCGGTTTAAATACCGCTCCTCCTCATTATGTATTCAGCCGTGAATCTAAAACTACGTTTTGGCCGGAAGTAGTAAGTTGAAGGTTAAGAATTTGACAGGAAAGAAGTTTAACTCAAAATTTAACTGTTAATAAAATTAACATAATCCTTACAACCTTTTAATATAACAATTTATATTATATTTACTTTAATATAACAAAAGCAAAGTATTAACTATTACGACCCACATATTTCTACAAGTTTTTTTTTATTACTATTCGAGCACTGAAGAATAAAACGTGAAAGCAAGAGATTTAGACAAAAATTCTGCAGATTACGTACGTAGCACAAAATATTCTAATTATCTTTCTATTATTATAATTAATGCACGATAATACAATCACAAGCAAAATTTATTGCCATGAAAGAGTATCAAGACATTCTTAAGAACTATACATTACCTTACCAAATGCCTTATTTGTCATATTTGCTATGTGGTATTAATGAAAGATAATTTATTATAGTAAATTCAATAGCTCCTATTCTGACGTGATTTTCTTGGTAGCGTTAAAATAACACCTTTTTCAGCTGTTAAAGCCACTAAATTTCAAGCACTTAAATCATTATGAAAATATGCTCTTGGAACAAGATATCCGAGCTTAAAATATTTTCCATTTGCATGAAACGAATGCATTTTACTTATGCAAAAACTTTTAAGTGACAGAGGTCACAAATTATCTCAATTATATCTATTTGATTGAATACATTATTCTATTACAGATGTCCAGTGTGGAGACCTAAAGGACATTAACTTCGGAAGGGTGATCTATCCAGAAAAAAGAACAACTTACAATGCTACAGCTGCGTATATTTGCGAAGAAAATTATACACTGGTGGGAGATGGAGTGCGTAGATGCACAGAGGATGGAACTTGGAACGGAACAGAACCTAGATGCGAATGTGAGTTCTAATATTTATTTAGGTTAATCTCATGTTCTATTTAGATTTCATCAGGTTTCCTTAAACAGCATCTGTGTATAGTTTTTAAATTTGTGCAGATATGATACAAAACGTTGCATAAATCTCTGTCAATGTTTGGTACCATTCAGTATTGTCAATAGTAGAATCGGAAGATATAAAAAGGTGCTAGGTAACAAAAGACAAATTTTATAAGAGTAACTAAAAAAAGTTCCCATTCCTCATAAGAATGTCCAAAGTCAACAACAGAAAATTATGAGATAGATGTAACCTGTAAATGTTTCGATGAGAACCCTTTTTCTAATTTTTGTTCAATATTTTAAATTTTATAATACTTAGTTTATTGGCAACTTGAATTTAGTATATTTCATGAGGAGGTCGATGCTTATCTTAATGTATTTATTTTGTAAAACTTCTCGAAACTCCGGTAAGTTTTTAAACATCTTACAGTTTACGTTTATGACTTCTGCATGTGATGTTTGGTATTTACGTTTTCCCCCCTCTTTCTTGTGTGCGTAGCATTAGACTATCCTTTATGGCATACTCCGAGTAATATTCTCACTGATGATCCGGTGAAATAAGGGATATGCTACCCAATTCCATATATCTAGCCATTGAAAGGAAGAAATTTTCGTGACTTTTCTCCTTAAGAAATTCTGGATTTACCACAAAATTATTGATATTCTAATTTTCTAGAATCTTCAGTAGATTATGCTAGGAACGTTGTAATGCTTACGTTCCCCTTCAGCCTTTTCCTAATTCAACTCTAAGAATTTTATTTCCGACTCACTCCGAACCAGTGTGAATAAAGTTTGAAATTGTGCGATAGTAAAATACCAGAATTTTGTGATTATAGAAGCCGCCAGTTCTGAGATCATGTGAACCAACTTTTTCATAGTGCGATGAATTTATATACTCAATCACAAATTATTCATGATATGAGAATAAAGATAAAACCTTTATTGAGAGTAAAAAAAAAAAAAAAAAAAAATCAAAATTTTAACAGATGCACTTACACTCGCAAAACAGCTCCACAACCACTTCCCTCCCGCTTTCCAAAAATGGCTTCTCAAAGGTTCCCGACTACAATAATTCAAAAGATTCACTACTTCCCTTTACATATTAGATCGCATACCAAACTCCTTCTGAGTAAGAAAACAGACACGAACACTTCACCATCCTCCCAATCGAAAAAAAGTAAGTTAATTAATTCATATTCTTGCCTTTTATGTATATTATGTACATTTAAAATATTACATTTTCTTGTACGTTATTTTATATAAATATCTTTCATTTTTTTCACCTTTTATATTTCATTAATTTGCAAAAATTACATTGTTTATTATGTTTATAACGATTACTTTGAATTATATTTCATAAATATGGCAAAGATTACATTCTGTTTATTATGTTTATAAAGATAGCTTTGAATTAATATGTATGAAAGCTAGGGTGTCGGGGAACACTTTACTCAAGTAAAAGATAAAAATATTTTTACTACTACTTTATTTAGCAAAGAATTTTTTTACTACTACTCAGTTTGGCAATAATATCTCAATATATTTAAAAAATTCATTAGCTTAATGGAAATGCTACATTCATAATGAATTCTATATAATCCTTCTCTTTAATTCATCTCACTTTAATCTCACTAATTGGATTAAACTCAACTTACAAATTTGACTTAAATTACTAGTTTGGCATCATACTTCTTACTTGAATAAAAGACGAAACCTCTTCGCATTTATTCATTATTGTTAACTGAACGGTGGTTAGTTAGTTCCCCTTGAAAAGTCAACCAATTCCTGGTCAATAACGATAATTACTTAGTTTATTGATTAATTTTAATTTTAAAAGTTTCCATTTCTATTTTTCATGATTAAAATTCAAGTTTCTTTTTAAAAAGTTATTTTCGGGATTCAATTTCGATGTTTCTGGGTTACGTCATTGAGATACAATTCTACTAACTTTATACAAAGAGATAATATTAGTAAATAAATTATTATTACATAACTTTGCAGCTATTGCGCAAATATTAGGAAATTTATTTCGATATCAATGAATTTAAATTAATTAACTCAACATAAATGCAACATATTTTTGATATCAAATTTTAAAGAAAAGTTTTATATTTGTATAGTTTTACAAAAGCAATATTATATAAATATGAGTTCTATATGTCATTCAATGAAAGAAAATTTAGAAATATTGTTAAAATTAATTCATAAATTACCTAAATTTTATTCAATTATAGCGTTTAATCTCTTAGAAAATTTTATCTTCCCTATTTATTTTACTACCATTTTAAATTAAATATGAAAAACACTTTGCAAAAATATCTTTTCGGAAGTTTGAGAACATGCTTAAAAAATATCCATCTGTATCTCCATTTCCATGTAAAAAACAAGAGCAGTAGCAATAATCACCCCACTGAATAACCACGCAAACCTATCAGAAGTAAAAATAGAGCGATATTTGATATGACCTATAATTTCGCATGTTTTCAGATCACTGGTGTCCAAGCTTGAAGGTACCCACCAATGCTTCGATGGAATTGAGCGGTGTGAAAGCGGGTGACGAGGTCAAATATGTTTGTGACAAAGGTCACAAGTTAGTTGGTGATGAGGTTCGGAAATGTCAGCTTGGAGGACAGTGGACGGGAAGAGAACCTTTCTGCAAATGTAAGTGTATATTCCCATTCAAAACAACTGAAAATCTCTTTCAAAATATGGAATTCACTAAAACAGCAAACATAGATTTTGCAACTAAATAAGAAAAATAGACTTTTGTGGGGGTGGAAAACTGATTTTGTGGTTTGCGTATGTTCACTTAGTTTTCAATAAAAGTTCAGATTACATTTATTTTCAATTAATGTGAGTATTTTACGCTTCAAAAACAGCGTTTGGGATTTTCTGATGGTTTCTTTGCCACAGAACTAGAAAAATATTATCTGTTAAGATTTCGAGTATAGCATAAATATAATATTTCTGTGGATGGGGGTAATAAAAAGGAATTTTATAATATTTCAGTATATTAGATATATACCTTAAATTTGGTTATGTTTTTTTTCAAGTACTTTTATCATTTCAAATTTTTTAGAAAAAAGATTAACTTAAAAACACCATACTTAAAATCTGATTTGGATATTAGATGCATTTAATAAGGAAATATTTTTCACAATTCTTCGTAGATTTTTAACCCGAAGTTTATGCCACAGATTTTAAAATATGATAATCATTAAATAGTTCTAGTTTCTCCATCTAGGAAGAAAAAATAAAAAAACTATAGTTCTACCTGTTAACAAAAAAGGAAAATCTTTAGTTCTTTCATACAACAAAAGGCGAACCAAGAAATGAAATATAAAGGCAAATACGATTAAAAAAACTTAGTAAATATTTTATAATTAATGATCGCAAGAACTGCAGAAACCAGTTATTTGCAACAGGAATTGTTAACAGTATAAGCTGATAATAAAAGTGAAAAATTTCCAAAAATTAAAATTGAAAAAAAAAAAAAAAAAAAAAAAAACTTTTTCCTTTCTGTTTAAATAAAATCAATTTTCTTCTCATCTATCTGTATTGCATTGGTTTAGTTTATTATGGCAAAGCACACTAGGGCTATCTGGTTAAGGGGAAGGATGCCTTCGTGGAGGATTAACAGAAACTGCTTCGTATACAGTTCACACGTGGAGAAAAACACGAAAACGCCTTACAGTCAGCCCGTTATCCTCGAATTGAGCCAGGATCAGAACTACCAGTGTTCAGCGATTTTACCGCTCGTTCTCTGGTGGATCTGTATTTATACTTGAACTTTGTCTCAACAAGAGGTGATTCTACGCTAAATTAAGCAAAAGCAGTAACAAAACTTAATTTTCTTATTCCTGCTCTAATTTTACGCAACTAATTACTCTGGGTGGATTTATTTATGAAATATTTTCGGGTCCGCTTGAGATTTGAAACGAACTTCCTTTTCAACGGCTAAGTGATCTTGATACTTGCGAGTTTAACCAGCGATTAATTTCCAAGATTGGTCGCCAAACGATATAGTAAACCCAAAAGAATAACGTTTCAGAAGAAAGTAATAAGAACTATGAAATCGTTTTTCTCCTTCATAAGACTTTAAAAAAAAAAATTTTTTTTAATAAAAAAAGCCTTGATTTAAAATGATGGCAATTTTCAATTTGCCATCAAATGAAAATGAAGTTATTGTATTCTTCTAAAAAATTAGTACTTTATTCTTCCCTCGAATTTGCGAAACTGAGCAAGAACAGAGCATTTTTTTTTTTTTTTTTTTTTTTTTTTTTTTTAAGTAGGAATTTGCATTTCTAGAAACATAACTTTTCACCGCTTTAATTTCTTTAACGTTTGCATTAAAATTTCCCTATTTGAAAGTGCTGTTCTGAAGAGGAGTGTACGGTGCTCAAAGTTGGCGACATTTTTTCCTGGATGCTTTGGTCGCCGGCAAAATCGGGACATGTTCCGTGATTTTAAAACCGGTCAGCCCACCAGCGACCGAGCAGTAAAATCGCTGAACACTGTTAGTTCCGAACTGGGTTCGACTCCAGGCGAACGGCTTGGCTGCATGGGGGTTACCTCATAAATTTGGATACAAGCCAGTTTCCTTTAGTAAGTCCTCCATGAAGGCATCCCTTGTATCTTTTCTTAATCAGCTTAACCGAAACCTTAACGCCAGTCAGTTTTTGGATAATTTCTGTTCGACGATGAATCTAGGATGATGATGTGATTCGGCTAAGGGATTTGGTCAAATATGCATCTCACATTTCCCCCTTCTATTTGGGGTGGACTTGCTCAAGATACCCGCAGGATCGGCGGAGAGAGCGCTATGCACCTCCATGAATTCTGTTCCTGTCAAGTACCACCAATAAGACTTGGGTTCAAAGAAAAATGTGCACCCAAGAATTCACTGGTCCATGCGAAGGGAGTGCAGCCTGCGATAGATACTACGTATGACTGACAGCCTTTTTATGCATTCGATCGACACAGCGCATCAAAAAAACTGTTTAATCCTATGCTGGTGTGGTTCTATGAAAAATAACGGTTACAGCCGAAAACATCGCGGGCGAAAACGTTGCGGAGAAAACAACGCAAGGCGAAAATATCGTGGTACAAAACATCGTGGGAGAAATGAAAGCAAAGAGAAAACATCGCAGTTCTAAAACATCTTAGTACAAAATATCGTGGTCGAAATTCCAGAGGTTCAGAAACTTCGAAGTTTAAAAACATCGTCGTCGAAAATATCGCGTTAAAAAATAAAGTACCTACAAATCATCGCATGGCAGCAACATCGCATATATGATTTTTTCAGGTTTTCAAAGTTGTAACTGCATTTTCGCATAATTATTTGGGAGCGCAAGAAGGAAGGAGGGTGAAAATTTTCATGACATTTCAAGAACCAAAAAAAAAAAAGATATAATTTTTTATTTTACTAAAACAATGACAGATTAACAAACGCGAAAGAAACTAATTTATTAGTTAAATAAGCAATTTGTATACAGGTAACCTCACGCAGTTATTTGTCTTCCTCTTTCTAAACATTTTTAGACTGTATTTTTCCTGAAAAATTATCAGTATAAAAAAAGATTAATTTATTTATAAACTTTGTTACGATGTTTTTAAACTTTGTAACTATGTAAATTTAAAAATTCTATTAAATGGTATAAGTTGCGTTAATTTTGCACTCATTTTCAATTTTTAAATACTTAAGTTTACTTCTTACATTTTCAGCAGAAATTTATTAGTTCACTCAAAAAATATAAAGTATAGAAGGAAACCTTGCCGACTTGCTTACTTACCACCAAGCTGAGTTGCTGTACCGCCTATTATATGACTATCAGCATTTGTACAATTGGTGGAGCATCCTATTGTCGCTATGCCTAGCTAAAAATCTCTATGAAATATTAAAAATTGTAGAGGAATTTAAAAAGTCGCTTCGAAAGATGAGTATTTGTGACCTGAGGTTAATAATGAGACCCTGTCAAGACTTTGACTGTGCTGAATGAGGATTTTAGCAACGTTTTATGCATTGTTATCCTGAGTTTACAGAGAATGTTTACTCTAGAAGTTAGTGGTAATTTGGATATAAAAAGTTATTCAGAAGTTTGCCGACTCTGTGCAAACATCCAGATGTGCACTAAACTTTATGCTCATTATTATATCATTGCCAAATTTTCAATTTGATCATGTTGATTCGTATGCCGGTAATTAGTGTCTCGCCTATGGTGTCGATTCTACTTTGCTATGCCGATGCTACTTAGTATCTGCCAAATATCGCCTGTGTTGATTCTATGCTGTATCGATCCCGTACAGAGCCGATCTTGTGCATTATGAATCCTGCGAGTATAAGACAGCAAGAACAAGTGCTGTAACTTCTGAACTACTGAAATCTACTCGAAGATCCTTAGCTTGGGATAATTTCTACTTAATACTAATATTCAGCTAATGAACTTGTATGACTTTGTTTATCTAAATAAGTGTACTCTTCGCATACTATGAAAAGTTCTCCGGTTAAAACAAACTGCTCAATCATAGTAAGTGAAAGAGCAAAAAACGAAACAAAAATGAAATTAACTTTCATCGAGTTAATTATTTGAACATCTATGGATTTCCCAACTTTCTAATGAACCCAAAATATGTGTTCCTATGCCTAAAAATCTGTCTATGTCTGAAATTGTTCTTTCTCAAGTCTTTTAGCATTTAACCTGACTCAAACTCGTATTTATGGTTTTAATTTTCAGACGTTGATTGTGGACGACCTCTGTCTTTGGATAATGGCACTTATCAACTGATTGATGAAGGTCTAAGTACATATCAAAGTCGTGTCACCTACCGTTGTAATAGCAATTACACCATCGTTGGACATGACCAACGAACCTGCCTGGAGACTGGGAAATGGAGTGGCAGAGAGCCCACGTGTAAACGTAAGATCGATATCTTCTTCCATTTTAAGGATATGTGTAATTCTCATACTCTAAATTATAATTTTCATTAATGACAATTTTTTAAACATAATTTGATGTTCCAGTGTCCCTAAATAATTGAGCAGTTCGTAATAAAACTGAAGAACTGACTACTCTGTTTGTTATTCTGAAGCCAAATTCTGCAAGTTACTATCCCGAACAACAAGCAGTGTTTAAATGCTTTGTACACAAAACCATGGGACAACATTTTTAACCTTAGTTAGTCTTATGAAGAGAATAAAAATAATTAAGATACAATAACACGCCGAACAAATATTAATTTAGAAGTCAAACAACAAAAATCACCGTTGTATTTTCAAATTTTTACAGGACTGGTTTCGATGGTTTTACCGAACCATCATCCTCAGCTGCAAAAGCGCAAATGAACGAGATAAGATAAGAAAGCCTGGACAGGATACAAGCCACTGGCGCCATCTGTTGATAAAACCAGAACTAAAACATAATTTCTTTAAATTAAATCTTTTATAGAAGTTATGTTTTAGTTCTGATTCAACAGATGGCGCCAGTGGCTTGTATCTTGCCCAAGCTTTCTTATCTAATCATTATATCTTATCTCGTTCATTTGCGCTTTTGCAGCTGAGGATGATGGTTCGGTAAAACCATCGAACCTAGACCTGTGAAAATTTGAAAATACAACGCTGATTTTTGTTGTTTGACTTCTAAATTAATAAGAATAAAAATAAGCAAATTTGTAATTGCAGTCAGATTACATTGTACAATTTCTAATCTACGTTTACTATATCATTCAGTAATGTAATTAAACAACTAGGCGAATAATAAATCACATAAGAAATTCGTTATTCTCTGGTCCTAGAACGACTTCTTAGCAAGGCACTACTGTACCATAAAACCAATGAATATTTTCTGATGCTCTTATAGTCTTGGAAAATTAAAATAAAAGTTTAAAACTATTGAGATGCCAATAAAATCCAAAAGCGATTTTTGGCGAAAGATTCTAATGTTTCTAACTTTATTTTCAGTCATTGATTGTGGTAAACCGGATGTTCCCGAAGGTATAGAAATTCCAAAGAACGCAACATTCACCGTTCATTCCGAGATTCATTATCGCTGTAAACCTGGCCACAAGTTGTCCGCAGTCTCAACCAATGATGTGAACACTTTCAAAAATGGTGGAAATACACTGAGATGCAATCCGGATGGAAAGTGGTCCGGAAACCTTCCCACTTGTATATGTAAGAATGATTTTTTTTTCATCTTTTTTATTATCATCATGAGTGAAAGCAAATGCATGAAATCATTTGCCAGAGGAAGCATTTGCCATTTTCCCAAACGAGCCACTAGCCAAAACAGTATAATGAAGTGTTATTAAAGTTACAGAACAATAAAAGCTAAAAGGAATTTTAGTGGAACTAAATTTTAGTGGAATATTTCTTCGCAATTAATTATATTCCCCCCCCTTCTTTCAGTCTTCTTTATACAACTTAATCATAATTGTTTTTAAGATATTCATTTATATTTCAGCTCTTTCATGTATTTTTTTTATCCTTAATTCACGTTTTAAAATTTTATACTACTTGGTATCAGGGCCGACGCCACAGCCGAAGCAAACAATGCAGCTGCATCAGGATGCAGAAGTTAGGAGCTGCAACATTTTAGGGATGGTAAAATTTTTGGAATTTAGATGAGGCATTGAGTAGCAGAACAAAGAAGAGACAACATGTTTAGTATTTTGTCTAGCGCTGGCCCTGCTGGGCATCAAATGTAACCAAATTATATATTATATTTCATAAAGAAATCAAACAGATTTATTTTTAGAAGATCAGTAATAATATTGGCTCTGTAGAATTGGGTGCCCCTTCGACTGGCGACACATTTTGTTTACTTTTGGTGATGATACCCCGTTTCTGGTTATGATACAATGATACAACTTGGTATTAGCTTCTTGATTTTTTAAGTGAAAATAGATCGATGTGTACATGGACACCGAGTTTGCGCAATTCTTTGACTTCTTATTTTGGTTTTGTGTAGCAGACATATTGAAATTGTGCCTTCCTTGTGCCGAACTTGGCGTCAAAAAAGAATCACCAAAAAAATAAGGGGCACCAAATTTTAAACTTTTACCTTAATATCCAAAGGTAAAGCTTACTTTTATTCTTCTTTACGGTGGATAGCTGAAGAAATCGTAGACACTCCAAATGACAGAAGCGATTAATACAGACTGTTTTTACAAGGCGAACAACATATTTTATTGTTATATATACCAAAGAATTTAAACGATAGAAGGATATTAATTACAAACGCAGTAAGCAGCTCTAACTTTCTGCTTCCGTTCACTAGTGCACCTGCTGTCTCTTTTGTTTATTTCAGTATCCAATTCACTTCAGCTCGTAATAGATAAAAAATGCCGAGAGGCCCGCTCAGTAGCAGCATTTGTCACTAAATAAAAACTAATATTGAAACTTTATTTTGTTACCACTAATAAAAACAAGCTAAATGAAACCAAAAATTTTTAATCGCCCAGACTGAATATATTGAATGAAACAAGATTTTTTTTTTACGTAGAGTTAATAATAAGAATTCACTTAAAACATAAAATTGAAGTTTAAGACATTACACATAGCTTTCATTAATTTTACAATGGATTGTTCCACTCTATAGAAACAAATAAGTTTATAGGATCCATTAATATCTTTAATTTTCAAAATTTCATTTGAAATTCTTAAAAAATTGTTGAATTATTTCAGTAGTTCTCAACCGGAAGGGAATTTCCTTCAAGAAAAGAATTTCACGTCTTAAAACAGGATTTAATCGACCTTAGAACTTTAAAAGAATGATCATGACGAAAGCTAGATATGGCATCGTCTGATTATATGACCTAAAAGCAATGAAAATAATAATTTAAGTACCATATAAGAAACCTGGAATCGTGTAAGCGCATCGAAACCAATTAAAGCATTTACCTAATTATATTTCTCAAATTTTATAATAAACAAAACAAGTATATAAATAAGATAAAACAAACAAATGTACAAATAAAAATATATGTATGATATGCAGGATTTGCCCAAAATTAGGAAACACCATGCTTAAGGAAGTTAATTATGCTTCTAATAGATTACGCAGGATTAGCATTATGTTTTTGGTATAACTATTTTACATATTTTCTTAATGTTGTGAAAACTTACAAACTTTATTTGTAGTTCGAAAACCTTAGTGAAGGGAAATGTGTCATTCGATTGAGTTTAAAGAAATCAGATCCTTATTACCTCTCTGTTGGTATATCTGTAATCTCAGTTGTAAAATTCTTAGGCATATCGAGAAGTTTCAGTTTAACGTCATGACAGCGTACAATATTCTAAGCAAAACATCGTCTGTGAGACATAGTTGTTGGTGGAAAGTTAAACTTAGTGACTGAATTAGAAGAACATTAAAGAAAACTTCTGGTACGAAAGAAATTATATAAGCAGAACATTTGCGGCACAGCTGCTGCCTCGAAGCCTTTTGTTTCTTAAATAAATTCAAAATAGATGCAAACTAGATAGGGGGCCAGGTGTATAGAACACAGAATGTTGATCAAGGGAAATAAGCATTGCGTCTGGATGAATCAACCTTCGCACTATTTCCCACCTCGAAAAGAATTCACGCACAGAGCGAACAACTTCAACAGAAGCTTAGAATCCAGACTTCTGCTTCCAAGCAGACTGAAACAGCACCATACTAAAACATGATGCTGGTTCAGTTACTCTGGATAGTGGTATCGAGGTTTGCAGGAGGCCCAAGTGTCACTTTATTATTAAAATTAAATATCGTTGATTACATAACCCTCTTAAACAATCTCATCCATTTAATGATATAGACACTGTTTCATACCGAGTAACTGTACCTTTCAAAATGATAATGCCCTTCTTAATGATGTAAAATTGTTTTAAGAAAATAAAGTTACACTTCTTCTCTTGTTTGAGCAATCATCAGACTCTAATATCATCGAAACCCTGTGGTATGTGCTGGAATAGACAGTGAGATATTGTTTTTCTCTCCCAGCATCTTCTCTCCAAGAACTGAAGCAGTTTATGACAGAAGAATGGTATAAAACACACATGTTAAGGAGGAAAGAATAAAGCAAAATAAAACTTGCGAACCACTGAATTATTGTTTTCCCAATTTGTTTCCGATTCCTGGATCCAATAAAAAACGAATACGTAATAACATCGGAGCTGAAATGTTGAGTACATACTTTTTTTCTTAAAAGTACGAAATTTGTTTATGCACATTTATTTTTTAGATGTGGACTGCGGCCGAGTACAACCACTTCTTCGGGGTGAGGTTCAATACTCAAATGGTACTACATACTTGAGTAGCATGGCTATCTATTCCTGTAATTCTGGATTCCGGATGATCGGCACCCGTGTTAGGCACTGTACCGAGAGCGGGAAGTGGAGCGATAACGCCCCCAAGTGCGAAGGTAAGTCAGAACTTCAATTCTGGACTGCTGCAGTATTTTTCTAATACATATTCTGAGAATGCTTATCCATCTAATTAAAAACTTATAAGTTAAGATAAAGCGGAAATTTTTCTTGTTAAAGCGGCTCGCCGTGTTTAGTTGCCAGAACTGCAAACTTTATCGCCCATTCTATAATGTGCAAACTGTAAATGTTGCCAAAGGCGTTTCTGGTATCCCTTTTAACAAGAAAGAGCCAATACAAGTAATGTCTGTTTCCAAGACATGCACATGCCTAAAATTATGAACACATTTATTTACTCCTCCTATCAGCGGTTTCTCTTTGGCGAGATAAGCTGAGAGACATTATGAAAGTAATCGTGAAACATAAATATCACAAGTGAGTATAGATCATTTTAAGTCCTTAAAGTGGGCACAGCGCTTATTCCCGCCATGGAAAGGGGCTTTGCCATTTGTTAAAAATTATTATAACCGCACACATTTTTTTTCGGGGGTATTAGGAATACGGTTAAGAATATTTCTTTCTGAAAAGAAAGAATATTTCTTCTTTCTTTTTCTTGTTGTTCCTTCCTTGTGGTTGATCAGTGCTTCCAGATTTGCAACAAAATCAGATTATTTATCAGCTATGTTTTTAGCAAGCCATACTTTCTCTTAGTAGTTAAGCTCTCTCCCAACTTTAAGAAAAATTCAATCTGATTAAATTAATATTAAGGGTAATGAGATACATTCCACAAGAGACAAGAGGAAGAATAACGTTGTTTGTTTACATTAGCTATACATTAAGTCACTTGATTTCTGAGGTCATTTGAATTTATCTCATTAACTGACATATCAAATAGATCCGAGTTAAAATAACACTCCGAATAACGATTATTGGAGGTGTTAAGGCAACGAAAATTAGTTTAATATTCATAAATTAGGCGGGGCTAGTTTCGAAGGTATTTTTTCCTCAGCTACTAAAGTGCTTCTGCAACTGAAGAAGGTTCTACATTTAAACCAAAAAGATTTTTGCTGCCTTAACTTCATATATTTGTAAAAGGTTAATTTCTATGATATCATGTTAAATATTTAAGTTTTAATAACAATGTATTGCCACTTATTAAGTCTTTACTTTACAGGAACACTTAAATAATAGTTTAACACATGTCTTTGTACTATATCAGCGAATTTTCAGTAAAAAAGAAAATACTTCGAAGAAGCTTTAAGCTAAAAAACTAATTTCATTTGGGCATCTTTGAAATGACATTCCTTACAGACGAGATGAAAATAAAATAACAGAAAACTAATATTAGTCTAAAATTAATTACATGTACAGTAAAACGTACTTGTAGATGTTATATAGTTATATAAAAGGCCAAGGGGATCAGAATAAATGGAGTAAGCCTCCTCCGTATGCTCCGTGCAATGAAAATGGAGCCATGAAACGTCACGGTATGACGTCTATTCAAAATCGAAGAGAGAGAGAGCATCTGTTCTCAGTTGTTTAGTTAGCTGCTGCTGTTACTATTGCGAGTTCAGCGTGAGATATGATTAACTTTCTAAACACTTGTACGAATATTTCTGAGGAAAACTGCAGAGATCTGAAACGTCTTTGATAAAAATAAATTTTTATTAACCTATTCTTGAATTTGTGCATTCAAACTATTACGAACCCGTACGCGCAACAATACTTGATATTTAAAATCACACATTTTAAATCATATGCATGTGTTTCCTTTTCAGAAATCCGTTGCTCTCCACCTGAAGTACCAAAGAATGCAACCGTAGTTTACGGAGGTAATGACCGGGCCTCGGCTGATTCTTTCCGTGTCGGATCTACGGTCCAGTACCGATGCGTTGCTGGACACTTACCCATCAATGGAGAACCTCTCAGGACCTGCCTGCCTACAGGAGTTTGGTCTAATGAGCCACCTCTCTGCATGTGTATGTGTTCACGAATTAATTTTTTTTTTCTATGCAGTGAAGCAAAACATCATCCTTTAATTATGTGGATTTGTTTGGCGTTTTCCCTGTAAGAATAAACAGGTATCGAAGCTTAACCTTTTTGTGCTCCTTAGGACATTTTTACTGTAGTATATAAACACTACGCAATCAATGACTATTAAATACTGATAATACCAGGAAAATTCTCTCAAATACTAAATATATAGTATAGCAAAAAAATACTTTTATTATTAAATATTGCTTTTTCCCCTTTAAAAATCAAGTTATCGATTTTATATAAGTTTACGTTACTAGTAATTGATATATTTTATGTAGTCAGTAACTAATACCTATTCAGTAGGTTCCATATGGCTTTGCAGATTTGAAATTTTCGATGCTTTAAAATTGTTGAATCCTTTCATCAATGAAACGTTCCACATAAAAAATTTAAAATAAACCATTATTCTTTGACCGTTAAATTAAATCAAATACTTAATAATATGTGATATACTAGGTTTCATAAATATTTTCATTCTTACGAATCAGTGATATGTTTCTCATCCATTAAGAAATTCTTCATTTAATTTCTTGCTGCTCTGTGTTATTTTTTCTTTTTATCATTATTGCATTGGTTTTTAAGCATTACATATTGGACGTCTATTATTATTATCTGTGGCACTTACACATTAATGTAATCACCTCGGAGCAATACGGCAATTTTTTATAGATTGAAAAGGTATAGTTACGTATTGGCTGCAAGTTTTTTTTTTTGGGGGGGGGTGCTGAAATTACCGAAATACACAGCGATGTGTGTTTTCGCTCAGGTAAACGTGCAGAGACAGTTTCGTGCAACCCACAGCAACAGAGGTTATCAAGAAAACAAATTTCCTTGTCGTTCCCTTTAGAAAATTTTCAGCTAAATTCTGTATTTCTGCAGGAATTTGACGTCAGTTTCTTCTACTGCTGGCAAATTATAGAAGCTCTTATTTTAAAACTAAGTTTAATTCAAAAAATATCATGATTTGTTTATAAAAACCATTTTTGGAATATACTAAAAAAGAACACTCACGAAAATGGTGGCGTTGCTTGACTGAAGGATTGTTATGAGCATGTTTGCGGGCGGGAAGAATGTTCATGCGCAAGGTTGCCATAGTTTGGCACATTCTGAAAATTTGGCGACATCTACTAAGGTGGTTGCGTTAATGTGTAAGTACTTTATCAGTTTGGTGCCAGATTATCACCTTCTTAGACTACCGAGCAAATTTTTTTCTACTTTTTATCTTTCAATAACAAAAGAGTAAGTAATTAAAATAATGTAAAACAACTAATATATTTATTCGAACTTCAGCCTGAAGTTACACAAACTAAAACATTAACAAAATTAACTTCTCCTCCTTGGCCAGGGAAACAGCAATTATTTAAAGTACTTGCAAATCAGATTTTAGATTAAAACCGAACAATCCGGCTTCGCTCTTCCATGACTGCAGCAAAGACAGTCACGAGCTCTTAGCGACAGAACTAAAAGTAAACAGTTATACAAACATTCACCGCAACAAACTGACGCTGCCAGCTTTATCTCGCAAACTTCGATTATTCACATATTTTAGCGGAGTTAACAAAGTTAATTCACAGTTAATTAGTTAATTTTTCACAGTTAGTTAATTCACATATTCTAGTGGCGAAAGAGTAGTAATACTAGAAAAGTTTAATAAAGAATATAATGTATTTATTAAAATTAACTTTACATGATTAAAAAAGACTATTATTTAACTATTGATTATCCGCTCAGTTGTCACTCAAAGCATTTTAGTTCATTTTATGTAGTTCATTTAAAAAGAGAGTTCACAAATTCCTAAGCATTAAAAGAAGCATAAAAAAAACTTATTTGCAGTGATTTCGGTTTTAAATTAATTTAATTTATTGACGGGATTTTAAATTTTGAAAGAGACAAACTATTTTGCATTTTCTGTTAATTATAACTGTTACTACAAATCTAAGTTAAAGTAAAATCCCATTAGTACCTAAAAGTTTTTAAATCTTAGGTATCTTAATCACAAAATACGTTATCAAAAATAAAAAATTTCTCTTTTTTCAGATATTGATTGTGGTTTGCCCTTACCTGTCCCTCATGGCCATTGGATGCTGCCTTCTAATACCACGTACTATGGTAGCCAGGTAGAATACGTTTGCGATATCAATTACGAAATACACGGGGCAAGAAGAAGGTTGTGTCTTGAAAACGCCACATGGAGTAACAGCGAACCAACGTGCCAAGGTTGGAAGATTTTATTTATCATCATTTATAAATAATCAATTAGAAGCTTAAAAATTAATTCCAGTCTTTCTAAATATATATGTTACCGGTAATCTATGAAAACAGGCGTTGTATAGAATGCCAAAAATTGAGTTTCAAAGTATGAAACGATTAATATTTCTCACATTTCCTAGGCATTCTATGCAAGTCCAAAACACAAACTATCAAAGTGTAAAATATTCTAATTAAATAATTTTTCTAATGTCTCGTGGGAAAGCACATGACTCTTACAAAAGAAGAAGGTACGGGAACGCTAGAGGTAGAGGAGAGTCATTCTTTCGGACTTGGGCCTACAAGTGGCCGAGAAGTAAAGTCGCTGAACACTGGTAGTTCTACGTGGGATTGAGTCCTGGAGAACGGGCTGGCTGCATGGGGGTTTTCGTCGTTTTCTCCATGCGTAACATGGATACCAGCCAGTTCCCTTAAAAATTGCCCCAAGAAGGCATCCCTCCCCACAGGCAGATAGACCTTGAGTTGCTTTCTCTTAATCAAATAACCTACCCTAACCTTCGAACTTCTAGAGGCCCATTATTCGCGACTAATCGTCCTTCAGCAGATGTTAAATCATATATTCTACGTTGATTCTTTTTTTTATATGTATTAAAAATGATAAAACAGAATTAGCACTTCAACTAGAAGGATAACCGAAAAATCTTGGAGGGAAAACTCTGGATCTATGTTCATTTTTTCCATTTATTCCTTTATTCGAATAACGTCACCGCGTTGCTATATATGAGGTAAAATAAACAGGTTACTACATTTTTTTATTTCATCGACTGGTGACCTGTTCATCGGTAAGTATTTAAAAACTGTAATCTTATACAAAATATTTTTCCGCTTTAATTAGCTTACTAAACAACAATTCTCCAATTCCATATATAAGGTCCCATCAAAGGCCGTTAGTCAGCATTACTTAGCAAACTTTTTAAGGCTAGCAGATTATAGCGTTAACAATTATAAAAGCCGAGAACACTATGAAATGAAATCAAAATTCGAATAATATAGGAACACTCTCTAGTTCATAAATTGTTAAAACAGTTTTCTGATATAAAAAGATGCTATCTTGGACACCAAGACCAACTAAACTGATATTAAATACCTGAAGAGCTCCCGAACTAACTGTAAGTGTACAATCTTTACTGTTGATTTAGTTTGGCTAACTACTAAATAGGATCCAATGGATCAGAGGGTCTAGGCTAGCCCCTTTAACACTTCGCCATTCGCGCCAAAGACAAGTTTGAATTGCGTTGGCTTTGTACCCGGGAAGGACTATCTCGCTTTCACGTGCTCCCATAGCTGCCGTCGACATACCGTTAACTACTGGCTGTAAGCTCTAAGGAATTTAAATTTTTTCGTGATTCTTATAAGAGAAATTAGTTTAACTTTTGGAGCTATATTTTAGTTTGCTTTCATTCTTACGTTACATGAAAGAACTCGAAATGAAATATATTGATCACTAATTCCAGAGAAGGAATCGGTACGAAGAGCTAGTCCTGAAGCCAAGAGTAATACAACTAAGAAATAATCCGATTTGCTGATTAGTAATAAAACTAATTACTAAAAAACTACTGCTACCGAAAAAACTAACTAAACTACTAAACTGATTAGTAATAAAAATTAGAAATAATCTGCCTTGCTGACCTTGTGCTCTTTTTGAGATAAAATGTTTTTAACTAGTGATTTATTATGATATCCAACAGATTCAAATATTTTTATGATATCATCATTTTGTTTTCGCCTTTTTATCGGATTTTCATAAATATATCGGAGCATATTAATCGTTATTACACTTGTTAGTCTTCAAATTCCATCATTGATCTTGGTATCAAAACTGCAATAAACCCTGGAGTGAGAAGCACCTCTCTGGGACGATTACTTCTGAAAGTGAAAAATATATCCGAGACTATCAAAATAAACACTAACACTGGATTTCACCTCTCTAAGATGACCACATCACCGTCCACGCACGGTTGTCTTATAGAGAATTATAATTTTATTTTATACCCAGTACCCGTCGGTAAAAACCATGACATACCACTCATGGGACCCACAGCATCCTTAAATTGTTAGGAAGTAGAATGTTACAAATATTTAGAAGAGCTAACATTTTAAAGTAACTTCTGAATGAAACTAAAGTATATTTTTTACCACTGGCCCGAATACGATAATAGCAGAATGGAAGTTTGTAATATTACATTGCTTAATCTTTCATGTTATAAAATGAATATATATATATAATTATTTCGTAACATGTCCATTTTCTGCATATTTCAAAATCATGAGTAATTATAAATAATTGTTTGTTTTAACAGTGGTATCATGCGGTGCTCCAGACACGAAGGACGACCAGACGACTGTTGATGGTGACAGTTACGTCGTAGAACAGTGGGTTAATTACAGTTGCTCTACTGGATATGAGCTGGTGGGCAACAGCAGCCGAGTTTGTGGAAGTGATGGAAAATGGAGTGGAGACACACCTTTCTGCAAGTGTATGTTTCTGTTTTATGTTTGCATCCTTGCAGCTAATACTCCAATAACAGGTGAAAAGTGGTTTTTAATTACAGAACCTATTCATACCTCCTGTAGAGAAACATGTTAACGCATAGGATTAGCAACGCTGAATAATAAACAGTACTCCTATGAGGAACTTGCGTACCTCAAGCTAACTCCTGGCTTCGTGTAGTCAGACGGTTTATCGCCATGTCCTTAGACTTTCAGAGAAATCACTATGAGCTCAGAAGAAGGTTTAAAATAAATCTTTTTATTATAACTTAAACTGCACAACTCGTGTATTACAAAATAAGTCACCGCTGCTTAGGGGATAGAAGCTGACATAAAACTTAGTGATTCAAAGTATGTAATTCACACGGCAAAGGTCCTACGACAAAGGTTTGGATCCGGCCCTCTAATCACTCCAGCAAACCCGATTAGCAAAAGGCTAAAGGCCCTTCCAAGTAAATCTAAGAGACGGACAAAATTAGCTACCAAAATCCATTTGACCTATAAACTACCAAACGTATTTGGTAAAGAAAAATTTCAAATGTTTTTTCATTCCAATCGAACAGTTATACTTGCGGTGAAAAGAATTTTATTTTTTGCCTCTATTCGAAGTTCTTCGTTCGAATCTATTATATAACATTCTAGATATATTTTCTCTCATATCGTTCACTTATTTTCCAGTTTCTCATTTTAAAAGAAAATTAGAGAAGTTTAAAATTAAGATCCCTTAAAAGATTTATTGTGCCGCAGTGGGAATTTGAACTGGTGATGATCTGTGTTCCAGAAGATATGCTAACCTTGGCATCAAAACACACATCAAGAAAGGCCTTTGACTTCTTACACATATGTAGTAGACTGCTAGATTCGAATCCATTAGAACGCTCACTAAATTCCTAAAAATCAAACTTTTTTTGGAACATTGGCGGCGAAAGTCAATCATTGTTTGACTGTCAGCCATGTAACTTTAAATTTATGACGTAATGGACTATAAGTTGTAATCAAAATAGGTTAAAATATTGCTTATAAAATTTGTAGTATATATTATCGGCAAATATGGTATTATACAGAATATTTAATCATTATAAACTCTCTAAAATAACAGAATAAGTATAAAATTAAATTATCTATACATATTTCTAAGATATTCTTTAGATTAATGAATTCGTTCCGAAAAATTTGTGAAAACAAGCAACTGCAACAAAAGGGATAAATGCATATGCACATCATGTGTATCAACCTCCTTTCCCCATTCTTATTTGCCTTTGTTAAAGTCAGTCTCTCGAGCTAACATTTTCAATTTGTCTGTCCTTAACTGCTCATGATAAAGACGGTTATGTTCTACTTCAGGCTTTCCCAGATGAAACGTTTTTAAAAATTGTCACATTTCAACCTCTCTCGATCGAGAAAGTAAGAGAAATTCTCATTTCAGGCCATCGCTTCAAAGTTCATGTTAAATCTGAAAATGCAATGAGATGTCATGTGATGGGGAAATATGTATGAAATGCCCTAAACGGTATAATGGTTAGCGATGCTGACTTCGCATCGTAAGGCCAAGGCTCGAATCCTGGAAAAGGTATGGATGCTTTTATAGTGTGTATGCGGAATAGGGGGCACGTAAAATGCTGAACAGCCGAAATTTCTCTCGAGTGATCTCCCGGTAGAGGTACAGAGGTTGGACATCTTCGGATCAGTCTCCAAAGTGTGCTCTATCAAAATTTGGATGGGAATGTAGTATTCGTGCCGTGGGACTATATCTGCGACAGAATTTGACGAAGTTCTAGCGTCCTGCCCATGTCTTCTTCTTCTGTCCTGTCACAATTGGACTGTGCGTCTTGAGCTTCGTGTTCAGACAATGTTTAAATACAACATTAATGTCACTGGCTATGATACCTAATACAGTTAATATGAAAATGCTTTTGTTGATTACATTAAGTGTTGCTGTTGTGGCAATCTGCTGTTCGATGCACCATACTCTTTTGAGATACGGTTATGTCGACTTCCGAATAAAATCGTGGCTAAAATAATTTGAGAGTTCTAAATATTCAGGGAAAAGTAAGAACTTCTGAAGTCGAGGGCTAGCCAGGTTCCCAGTTCCACTATATGCTTAGATTATTGTATACACTTGCACAACTTGTTCCGGCTCGCTGAGGTGGAGTCCTAGAGAACGCCGTGGTAATATAGACTCATGGCTGATGTAGGTCGAAGGCAGGTAGATGAACGGAGGTAAAGCCAGGTGATCCTCGTCACTGTAGCAAGAACCAGCATCTTTAGAGAATGGGCATAGATTTAAAGGTAAGCACACAATAGAAATTTGAAGTGTATAAGACATTTCTCCCGCCTTCTTAGCATGTCTTCGTGGTGTAGTAGTTATCACACTCGACGCCTATTCGACAGGTCCGTGGTTCGAGTCCTGACGAGGCATTGCTCATTTTTCACATCTCCTGCTTCGAAATAACGTAATGTCTCTACAAGTGAAAAACACAATGTTGTAGCTTGGGTTGAAGCGTCTAGTTAGATGTGAAGGGCTGTCATTAAATTTAATTTTAAAATATATGATATTCGTAAAGAATACTGTTGTCATATTTTTTAACATAATGTTCATTATTTTTTTTTTTTTTTTTTTTTTTTTTTTTTTTGCTGTGTGTTTCACTGTAGATGATAATATTATTCCATGTACAAGGAAATGCATTTTTGCTCCCTTCCAGAATTATTATAGATGAGGTTCAGACAGAGGACATGCTGTCTTTTTCTGGCTATTTTTCTGATACCGAAGAAATTGATAACGAACCATCATCATAAAATATTTTATTGAATTCTGACCTAATATTTAATCCTAATCTTTATATCTAATTGAAAATAAGTGCTGAAAGTAGCCTATCAACAAAAATTGTAGTGTATGTATTTCATATTTTTAGCAATGTATTTAAATTTTATGTATTTAATGGTTTCTTATTATTCACCTCAGTGGTAGACTGTGGAACACCCTCAGCAATAGCCAACGGACAAGGCTTCCTTGCTAATGGAACCACAACTTTCCTAAGTGTTGTACAGTATCGATGTTTGCCCGATTTTCAGATGGTAGGAGAGCCTTCGAGAACATGCCTGGCATCGGGTGAATGGAGCGATCTTGAGCCAAAATGCGTCGGTAAGTGAATTTTATATCAAAATAGGTTTCAGACAGTTTTTCTGTGCTTGATTACTGCCAAGAGAAAAGTGTAATATTAGTGTAATATATTAGTCTGTTTTTCAGTGGAAAAGAGTTGCTGTGTTTTAAACTTACAGCGGCTAATGAAATTAATGTGTCATGAAAAACCAATAAAACCATTCCAAATACATAAGCGCATGATTGCATAATCAAAACATAGCAAAATTCTTTTGTTTAGATTACACGATGATCCGTCTTCATATAAGTGTGGATTGCATTCTCGCTGTTCAAGACTCAATTGAGCTTCTAGTAGAAAAATGAAAAAACGTTCGGAGCTGGAATTTCTTCCCAAATTATGATAAAAAACTCGAAGAACAGCCACCTTGCCAAACCATACAATTTCTACAATTCTTTTCGAAAAACCTTTGCATTTCTTTCACCCGCAGCAAACCACACAAAAAACCACTACGTAGTTTTTTTTTCCCCAGCGGCGGGCATTTGCGTATAACGACATTGGTCACTACTAAAGCCAGAAGTGGTGGCTATTTTATTGCGGAGGCACCTAATAGTTGGCCACCTAGTCGTGGGCTTGGGCTGACTATACGTCAGACAAGTGAGTATCAGCAACAAGAAATCCCAGATTTTGTTTTATTTTGCAACTGTAACTTTCTCGAGATAAATGAAAACAGTCTTCAATTTACACAGTATTTGAATACATGAATAATTAATTCAAACACAGTTTCCGTTAACGAAAATTTAGGGAATTCGTTGAGAACATCATAATACAAGTATCTCTATAAATTTTTGAATAATATCTATGTCATGAAATTAAAAAAAAAATAATAATAATCGCTGGTCCTATCAGGCCCTAGAGTTCAGTTAGTTTAACCAATAAACAAGAAAGCATTTGTTTTTCATAACAAAATAAAATATAAATGAATATTATTTGTTCGCTAATTAACTGATATTTTTGTTGAATTTTCAGATATAGTCTTGGAAATAGAAAATACAGCTGATGGTCAACGTAAGTATATTATTGTCTGAAATCTAGTAAATTTCTTTTGCATTATATATATGTAAGATATAATAAAATATGATGGCTACGCTAGAAAATGATTGGCAACCTCAAAATTGACTATTCTAGATTTTACGTTCTCCCCCTATGTTCATCTGTTCTCCCAAATTCGAAATCTTTCCATGTTACATAACGCTGCTTGAAAAAGATAACTAAAATCTGAAATTAACCAATCACAGCTTATGCACCTACGTAGTATAAATACTGCTTCGCGAGCAATTACGTCATTCCTTTTTCTAACTTCTGCCATACAAACATGTCCGCGCTGCTTATACTTTCCTGTCTAAGATGCTTATGTCGTAAAAATTATAGTATTCAGCTATGATTGAAAAGTAATTTGTCTAACAAAATGATCCGATGTGAATTATCATAGAATAAAATGTTTCGAAACCGCCACGTCTGGAAGTTTCTAGTTTATGCATCCGTATTTCTAACTACGCATTTAAACCATCACATACATATATTGTTAATGAAAAAGAGGATATTATCAACTTGGGCATTCGGTTTGAAATCTGATGATTTACTTGGATTTGATTCCTGATAAATATGTTAATGTACATAAAAAGGAAATTCTATATAATTATATGAGTAAATGTTAATAGTTATTTTACCCACGTACATCCTATATCGATGAAATGAGCTTGATTTAATTCGAAATTTTGCTTAAAAGTGAACAACAGTAGGCGCAGCTTACTGTGATCGCGATCAATGTTATCATTCGGATACTGTTATCAAATAAGCGAAGACTCGCCCGTTTCTGTTCGAAACATGGAAAATATATCGCTTATTCTGATCAACAAGTCGGTTACTCTGATCAAAATATTATTAGAATAAATTTTCACAGTGAAAAAAAGTCGTCAAACAAATAGTAAAGGTCAAAATAGAATACAGAAATTGCTAAATGACAGAAAAAAGTCACCATGTAAAGCATCCAGTCCCCAGATAGGCTTAGTTTTCATTTGAGTACAAACGTATACAATGAATACGATTTTCGGAATTTCGGAATTTGGAAAGAAGAAATATCTGACAGTCACTTTCTGAAATACATCTACATCTGTGAAAAATTATCGGAAAGAGATTATGAAATCGATGAATTTCCTATGAACGCTGAGAGGAGGACTGCTCTCCGAATATTAAGATTAGGGATACAGAATCAATCAAATAATTTCCAGAAGCATTATGGAAAGCATTCTGTCTAAAGGAAAGGATGCCTTCGTGGAGGACTTACTAAAGGGAACTGATTTGTAGCTTCGTTACACATGGGGGAAACTATGAAAATACCCACGCAGTTCGCCACGCTCTTTCACCTAGAATCGAACACAGGTCAAACCAACAGTGTTCAGCGATTTTATCCCTCGGCCGTTGACGCATTCAGAAGTATTATGAACAATTCATAAAGGAACTTTTGCGTAATAATTATGGAACATCCATTATTAATGTTTTTCCTAATTAAAAATGCTATGAAAGTAAAGTGTTTATATATTTCTAAGTACATTTACATTAAATACGTTATAAGGTATTTTCTACTTCCTTTCCACCATCGCACACTTCAGTTTTCACTTCCCAGCATCGATATAACCTAATGACTCTACAAAGTTAAATTTCGATAATATTTTTAATTATATTTTTATCGGTTATGTTATTATTTGGTTAGTGTTCTCAAACTAGAAGTGGACAAACATGATCACATTAAGCGGTTCTACTGTATTTTCTTGCAGAAGGTCTAATTTGTAGGAAAGATGGTAATTTAGCTGGCAATTGTATCTTGAATTCCCTGTAAGAACCACCGGGCTTAAATAAACTTGAAATTAAGAGATTTAATCCATTACTGTTTCGTATTTTCTGTGAATTAAAATAGGATTACCGGCTTAGTTACGTTAGTGTGCAATTTCACATAACTATCATAATGTAATTGCAGAATTTCTTCATCTTTAAATAGTGGTTGTTTTCAAACAAATAGGAGTTTATCAAAAAATTCTAATTCAAAAACTGGCAAATCAACCATAAAATAATTTTGATGTCGGTCTTTAAGGCGATATTAAAAATTTAACTTCCTAAAATGTTATATTCCAAGCCAAAAGGAAAATCATCTTCTCGGAATACTCTGCTTCTAATTTACATTGCAGTTTCATATTTACTGAAGCAAAAGAGTCGTAATTTTATGACTTTTAAATATATTTTATTACAATTCCAGATCTTAATCGGCCTATTTTCCAACAGAATGTTTTACCATTTCTACTTCCTTGCACGAAGTAAAGTAAATCTGCTTTCTTACCCGCTGGCCGATTGCTTACTTTTGTGTAGATACTCTAATTTTAATTGTAAATTTTTAAAATGTTTTAATTGCATCTTTTGTTTTATATTTTTCAATTTTTAGTAAAGATATTTTGAGATTTTATGCATCTTGCCGCGAAGTGAGAACTGAAATAATTGAATGAGAAATATATCTAATGAAATTCGAGGAAATAAACTTATATGAAATGCAGCAAAAAGTGCGTGTAATTTAATATTCCGTACAAGGAAGTCACGTGGTGTCCACATCAGATTTTATAAAACTATACATTTTGGACAAGATATTTTGTTATTGTTTTTAAAGCTCGGAAAACTTATTGCTTAAAAGAAATTTCGCGAACACTTATGATTAAAATTTCTCAATTCCTAATAATTAATGTATTTTTAAATTAAATTTTAAATCTGAAAATAGATTCATTAATAATACTAACTAGAGTAAAATCCTAAAGAGGCTTACTTACTCAGTTAAAATTTTAAAGTAGGCTTAAGCATCTGAGAGAACTGTGTCTATTTTCAGTAAGAAAGCTATATTTTATTAGTTGCAGTTTGACGAACTTCATGAAATTTTGTTATACGATTCAACCCTGTGTAATAACTTATTTTTTTATTATGATTTTAGACGCTGATGGACAAGATATTGATGCCTCAAAAACCATTGGTAAGTTTCTTGCAATGTTTCTTTAGTCACAATTTTTTTGTATTCTTTGTTCGAGTTCTAATTCTGTGCCCCTCTTCCAGGAATTGCTATCGCGGTTGGAGCTGGAGTTCTTCTTATTATCATCATTATAGCAGCTGCAATTTGCATGAAAACGTAAGTTTCTTTATAAAACATAATTTTAACCATAACATGTGAGATATTGCTTTACTTTAGTTGTGAGACTTCTCCTCTTTTTGTTTCTATTAAGAAGGTCACAAGAAAAAATTCTAAACGGGCAAGTTTTCAAATGAGGTTTTAGGTTCTGAAACGACTATATTTACTTACGTAATGCCTTTTTATAACATTGTGTGCATTTAATTTTTTTTAATATTTTTATCATATGATAAAAATGCAAGGAATAAGCTACCATGTTTCTAATATTAGAAACAGGAATGTTTAGGATAGAAGCGATAAAATGATGCAATAATCACTGCTATATCCTTCATTATTTAGATGCGGATGCCGTATCGGATTCCAACGTAACAGTCTCGAGTCTTGCAATAAAGGCATCAGGCATAAAGCTATCCTGATTCTAATTAGTTTGTAGATGTACAAGATACGTACGCGCAAACGATTTATGCAAAAGCAACTGTCATAATAATTACAAAAATCAAAGATAGATAATCAAAATCAAAGATAGAATGTTAAGACAATTAACAGAAAGTGTCTACGAGTACAGCCATCAAAACAGTTTTCAAACTCAAAATTCTATATAAACTTTTACAATTAAATTTCAAATAGTATGTTTAGTTTCCTGCGCCAAAATAAGCAATTCGGCTAACCGGCAGGAAGACTATTCGGTGCACAAAATTGTTAAATTTTAATCCCACTGTGTAAAAAGACACTTAAGTTGGTGCACCAACTGACTTTATTCAATAATCTATTTAGAATTTCAAATGTAAACAAATGGCAGCCTCATTAGGCCTAGCGCTAGTTAAACTTTTAAATTGTTGATAATTCTACAACTACTGCATGCAGGTTAACTAAAGGCATAAAATTCTTAACCGAAACATAACAACAAGCTAATTCAATCACTTTAAAAGCAAAAAATGCACAATTTACAAATAGCAAGCTGAACTGGCAGAGAAACAACGTGGCCGAAAGGCAGAACACGCACTCTAAACACGCTCACGCTCTCTATCTGAAGTGATACTTGATAATTTTGTACCATACTGGTTCACAGCAGGAGATTTCTTTTTCTGATTTTGCCAGTTCCTTAATGAGTCCCAAATAGGCCTGGCGGAAGTGATAAACATCAGCGACGTTTTCTCCAGGAGAGGCAGAAATAGATGAAGCAAAGAGTGTGAAGCACCTTACTAAAAGAAAAGAGTGTGAAGTGTGAAGCAAAGAGTGTGAAGCACCTTGCTTCTTCTAAAAACGAAGTAAGTTTTTAGAAAATGCCTGACTGTAGTGCCAGGGAAGGAAAGGTCCACAAAACAGTCTGCTAGTCATGTGAGGTAAAGAGACGAATTCGGAACATTTGATCACAAAACTACAGTCTGTGTTTTGAAGTACTGAATGATCTATATGAAGTAACTCAAACATCCTATTTTGCATAATGCGCAAAACTAAAATCTCATTGTGGCAAAAAAGCGTGGGTTGAAAACGAGAGTTTGTAGGAAAGAGGGCTTCCAAAATAAAATTAACAGTTAATTAAAATTAAATAAAATCCCAAGAAGTAAAATCAAGTAGTATTGGCAATAATTGTATATTCGGCTTCTCTGTGCTGATCATTTTTAACGCAGTCTCTTCTGTATGGTTAACCAGAACTTTATACTTAATTCTTTCTTCATGTTAATGTTCTAAAGCAGACATTAGATTCGCAAGTGAAGACCTTTTCGACTGAAAGAACTGGTTAATTTAATCTCATATAATATCATTTAGCAGCTCTGAATACTAAATGTTACTCTTATAATCAATTTCCTGGAGTGCCAATCAATTTTTTGGTTCTGGGATTAACTTTAGAGATGAAATGCAAGACTTTAAGAAGCTAATGTGCGTCAAGTTTCAAAACTTAACGCAGAGAGTTAGCAGCACAAAACCTGGGTTAGTAACAAACATAACAATTTAATAAAACGGAAATAAGCCACGATTTCGTAAAATTTTGAAAGCTGGACTTAACAATCCTGCAGGAAACGATCCCATGCGCGATCAACGTTTAACGACTGGAATCACCCATCACGCGTAACTACCGGCTAAATACCATTTTTTACTTTGTAGTACATATAAAACTATAACGCCGTTCCTTAATCCGTAAACTTTCAGCGATCACGTTTGGTTTCAGTCTGTCTTTTGGCAACAGAACACGTACTATTTCCAACTAGCAACGTGTTTCTGAATACAGTTCTTTCTTAGCATAAATCGATATAAAATCGCGGTTTAGCTGAAATACATCGAATTTCCCCTGAGAATATTGCGAGTTCCACGACCCCTGCCTAAAATTAAAGCCTAAAAGTTTAAACGGCGAGGCGTGTAGTGAGGTCCTAGAAGAGACGCGGAACACGTATACATATTATTATTATACCTATACTTTGACAAAGAAACAATGCCCAAAATGTTGCAATTTGATATTTTTGCACCTTTATCAAAATCATTAATTACCTCGTATAGAAAAGATCTATCGTTCTTCAACTGTTACGCTCTAAGTTCTAACTGCGAAGAAAAAAAAAAAAAAGAAAAAAAAAAAAGGCACGGTTCTATTCTCCCGTTCTACTGGGCCAATTGACGAAATTCATGTGTCGAAAGCGCGACTTAGGATTACATAGATTTACATATAGAAGTGTTACAATATAGGTATTTTGGCACGATTTTGGCACAATATCGCGGACTTTTTCTGAAATGACATGCCAAATTTTTCCCATATTTCGATTCCACAATTCAAATTATGCATGAGCATTAAATTTTGTATTTTTTGGTCAGAAATTTACCTGAGAAATTCAAAAATTTATCTTGGCGCATTTTTTTCAGTTTGCGCCAAAAATAATTCACCTGCGAACTTTTTAATATATGGCAACCTATTTTCCTTTACCTTTTTACATTGTGCATGAGCGTAAAAAAATTCACATCGCTTCTATTTTCAGATAATTTTTAACAAAGTGTTACCACATTTGATGATGTTATCGCTTTCAACAAATATCCCAAATTTCAAAACTGCCGATATATAAATTCACGTAAATCTTCGGAAATTTTGAATTAAAAAAACTCTATTTTTTGCAGGTATGCTTAGAAATACGTTTACTTTAAGATGTTGGTAAAATTTTTATAGATTATAATTCAAAGTTTTTTTTTTAAGAAATATTTATAAAAATATTTAAAAATACAAATTTGAAAAATAATGAACAATGGGGGAATTATATTAGAAATGAACCTAAATTTCGAAATGTGAAAGGAAAATCGAATAAGTTTAATAAAAAAGAGAGATTAATATATATATATATCAAATTCAATTAACATTGAGGAGCTAGAATTTTGAGAGCTAAGTTTTTAAAAACTACTCGTGCGGTTTTTACAAAACTTTGCAGTTTGGTATAATTTGAGTTGTAGAATCGAAATATGGAAAAAAAAATTGGCATATCATTTCAAAAAAAGTCCGACTTTGTTTCAAAATACCTACATTAGAACAATGCTATATATAAATCTAATACATATCCTAAGTCGCGCTTTCGAGACATGAAAAACGGAAGCTGAATTCGTCAATCGGCCCAGTAGAACGGGAGATATCGAACTTTTTTCCCCCGCACTGTACATTAGAATAATATTTTGATAAAATGTTTGGCAATCTGTACACTAAAATAAGAAATACTTACATACTTTTTGAAGTATAAAAAAAAAATAAGTTGGAGAATTCTTTTTAATTTATTCGAATATTTCAATAATTTATTGAGAGTGTGATAGAATATTGAGAGTATAATAGAATTGGGCGTATAATGAACTTCATACATGCGTAATTGGATATTGATTTTTTCCCTATCAATTATTTCTATGATGGGGAGACATTGTTTTGTGTATAATATCTTCTTCTAAAAGCACATAAATCGGTTCCTCATGTGTTTTTCCTTTCTCCAGGCGAAAGGCAAAGGCTATCAAGAGCACTGGGGCTGCTGTCATCTCAAGTCGCATCGATCATAAAGATTCGTCCTCCCTCAGGGCTTACTCAACCATTGCCGCCATTACTGCTGCCGATGCTCATAATGGAGGTTCTGGATTCGGAAACGGAGCAGTGAGAAACAACCCAAATGGGTTAGTCACCTTCAGCAGCAACCCCCAGCCGATCTACGCTAACGTGAATGGTAATGATACTGAGGAGGACGGAAATCAGCAACAAGGAGTCGTCAGGCAACTGAGGAATGGTGTGATCCAGAGCGAGAGCTTGTAGCAACACCCAGACCTCCTACAAACTTCTTTTGTGAATTGTGCTGAAGGCTTAATTTATTGAATAAACCTTAAACAATGAATTTTGGCAAAATGTACCGTTTGCACAGAAATGACGGGAAGAATCTGTTTTGTGCATCATCTTTTTAATGCCAATAAATGTTTTCACACGGTTATGTTTGTGCAAAACACAAATATAAAATTAAGGAATGAACAGGAATTCGGTTCTATAGTTGATAACAAAGGGACTTTTGCCAAAATAATATTACTTCAGTTTTATGACGGGTCATATCACCGATATGAGTATCTATACAATTCAGAGATGGCATGCATTAACGAGGACCCTTTCAGGGTATTCTGTAACTCCGAGTACAATGCGATTTCCGAAACGGAAACTTTGAAAAACGTGTTGATAAAACGAGCGGTAACATGCTCGTTTGAAAACTTTTCCAAAGAATTGATTACTAAACAACGGGCCATATACAGAAACTTCGCTATTGAAATAATCAGAGTTTTATTTATTATTAAAGAGAAAATAGGAGTGAAATATTGCTAACTAAGGAATATGCGAGCTAAGGAAACAGATTTTTGTTTCGCAGCCGAGTTGTCTGAAGTGAAACTCCGTAAAAAAATTACATTACTTACTAAAAAAGAAACTATAGTAAAGATCCTACACGGAATATTTTCAAGAAATTTTCTTATTACTTTTTAAATTGCATGAAATAACTCAAAATTGTGATGAAGTATTTATATAAACTTTATGTCCTTTTTTATGTGATGAATTATTTCTATTAATTCCATGTCCATCCGAATCTTAAAAAAGCAACAATTCACTTGTTGCTTTTTTGATATTTCAGTTATGCTAAAATTTATAGCAACCTCTAATAATGATGGTACTACCCTTTGGATGTTGTTTTTTTTTCTGTTATTTTTCGTTTTTTATGAAAGTGAAAAGGGATCAATTAATAAGAACTGTGTCATTGAGTCATAGTATATATATTTAATGGTATAGTTAATTTTTGTCTTAAAAAGCTCTCCTTTCATGAAAAACATAATGACATTTCAAGCGAAGTTCAATAAGCATGTCTTTCAAACACCACTTTGAAAAGCACATAAAAGGTTCTAAAAAATTATCTTATATTCTGTTTTACATTCTGATTGAATAGGAAAATACGATTCTATTAAATGTCATCTGTTTTTAATCTACGCCTGTAAACAGACCTACCAGGTAGCAAACGTTTTCTTTCTTTCCCCCTCTCCATACTTTTTACCAGAGTATTCTTGACAGTTAATTAAATATTCAGCTAAAGACGTTTAAAAAACTGCAAAATCGTTCGAAAGACATAATTTAAAATTGCTTAAAAATACCTTTTACATCATTAGATAAAATCGTTTAAAAGACTTGAATTTAAAGCTTTTTAAATAGTTTTAAAATATTGTTAGAACATTTATTAGAAGATAAAAACTCTTCTGCCATTTCATATAATGTATGTATATTAAATGAATTGTTTTCTTTGATTCTGTTTAATTAAATTATTCCCCTGAACAACGGTTCTGAAATTCGTAGCACCATATTCATTAGATATTCGTTCTATAAGGCTTTTTGGTTAATCAGTTTTCACTGCCCTGTGTTGGCAACAGTAGTATATTGGTATATGCCTTTTTAATTAAACACTTTCTATCCTGTGATGTCTATTAATTTTTAATGATGCTCTGAACATTTATTTTTTGTCTTTGCATCTTTTGAGGTGAACGGCTTTTCATAAAAAAAATTTTAATTTTCTTTCGTATACACTTCACATTATTTTTAATAGTATATTTTGACTATGAATGATCCCAGTGATTAAATATGTACAGTTATTTTATTTATGTTTTCAGTTTCCACTTATATTTCCATATTAAATTACTGAATTTATTGTTTGTTGTATGTATAATATCTATCTTTTCTAAATAGTTAACTGATAAAATTCTAGAAAATCGCATTATCCGTTCTTTAGTGTTGTTTGTAAAATTAAGTTCTTTCGTGAAATCGAACAGGTAAGAAATGTGATATTAAACAGCAAGAAAGAACTACGATAAAAAAAATGCGATTTAGTTTAAATATTGAAAACATTTCTTATTTAGTGTGTTTCTAAATTATTTATAGATACTACACATACACATATTTATATAGTACTTGTAAATACTATAGAAATATTTAAATCTGTGATGATCCATGACTTGTGCGTATGGCTGGACCACCACTAAAACCAAAACTGTAGTTAAAAATTTGTCAATAAATTTTTTTTAATGAATGGTCGGTTTTTTTTTAATACTTTTGTTTCCTCACCACTGATTAAGAAGAAAGATAGTATATGTATGCAACGGAGAAATGGTCGAGTTGTATAATTACTGTTTCTCACACAGAAAGAGTAATCTTAAAATATACTCCTATATCTCTCATATTTTAATCTCTCATATCTATCATAGTTTAACTACTATTTCTCATATAAAAATGAAAATATAAATTACTTATAAAATATTGAAAAGAAATCTTTTAAAAGAAGAAAAATTACTTTGCATCAGCACTCTTGAATTTCAAATTTAAAAATAAAACCTGAAAACATATTTGAATTTTTTATGCAGCATATTTAGCAGATGCGCCCCATCAGCAGCCGAGGGTAAGTTCGTTGAACAATGGGCTTCGTTCAAATCCAGGCGAAGGACTGGCTGCACGAGAGCTTTCGTGGTTTTCTCGTATCTAACGTGAAAATATGAGCAGTTTTCCCTCAGACAGTCATCCACATCTGTCCCTTCAAGAGAGGTAGCCCCTTGTATGCTTCTTTGTCGCAATTAAACAATCCGATCTTAACTGATTCATTCTAATTTAAGCTTGGTAATGTTCTTGGCAGCAATAATAATTGGAAATATTTTACATGTAGTATTGAAAAAGTAAATGACGTCGTTTGTGTCTCGAAATGCGTATTTTTTTTTAAATTAATTTTAAGTCAAATTTCAATAGTTACTAAATAAAATTTCACTTCTTTGCTATGTATATTATATATTCACAGTAATAGAACATATCCAATTTGTTATTCAATTATACGAAAGTAACAGGAACTCTTAAAAACATTAACACGTTTGTACTGAAATCTTTACAAAATGAGAAAAATACAGAATGTGAAAATGCATATTATCCACAGAAATTTATGAGTATATCATAAAATACGATTTTAAAGTACATAATTACTATCCGCTTGCGCAACCAGTTTCCAGTATGGCATGTGTAACTCGTAATTAAAAACAAATAGATAAATAAATAAAACCCGAAGTTATTAACAAACCTAGTGCGTTGCAAAATTCAAAAAAATATTAGAACTAAGAATACAGCACTAGGTTAAAACGATCGAAATCAGTTTCCAGTATGGCATGGTTAACTCGTAATTAAAAACAAATACATAAATAAATAAAACCCGAAGTTATTAACAAACCTAGTGCGTTGCAAAATTCAAAAAAATATTAGAACTAAGAATACTACAGCACTAAATTAAATGGTCGTCGAAATCAGTTTCCAGTATGGCATGGTTAACTCGTAATTAAAAACAAATACATAAATAAATAAAACCCGAAGTTATTAACAAACCTAGTGCGTTGCAAAATTCAAAAAAATATTAGAACTAAGAATACAGCACTAGGTTAAAATGGTCGAAATCAGTTTCCAGTATGGCATGGTTAACTCGTAATTAAAAACAAATACATAAATAAATAAAACCCGAAGTTATTAACAAACCTAGTGCGTTGCAAAATTCAGAAAAATATTAGAACTAAGAATACAGCACTAAATTAAAATGGTCGAAATCAGTTTCCAGTATGGCATGGTTAACTCGTAATTAAAAACAAATACATAAATAAATAAAACCCGAAGTTATTAACAAACCTAGTGCGTTGCAAAATTCAAAAAAATATTAGAACTAAGAATACAGCACTAGGTTAAAATGGTCGAAATCAGTTTCCAGTATGGCATGGTTAACTCGTAATTAAAAACAAATACATAAATAAATAAAACCCGAAGTTATTAACAAACCTAGTGCGTTGCAAAATTCAGAAAAATATTAGAACTAAGAATACAGCACTAGGTTAAGAATGCAAATTTATACGTAAACAGAACATGGTATTAACAAATCTAGAAAAACAAGTTTCCAATCACTGCAAATTTTTCGACCATTTTAATCTTTCAGTTATCATGTTATGCCATGAAAGTTATGCACTTCCATACGTGTTCTATACAGGATGACGCTTTTTACCAAGGCACCTGTCAAAACGTGTGTTTAACATCCGAGTCTTTAATCTTTCAGTTCAGGTGACTTCCCATGCTGATTAGATGCTTATCCCAAAGGTGAAACAAGCAAGATTGGAATTCCAAAGTAAAAGTTTAATAATGATAAATCTCATTAGATTTTATTAAAAAATCATGAAAAACTTAATTTTTAAAATACAGACGTGAAGTATAATTTATTGTAAGGAGAAATGCGTTAGTTATAGATTAATAATAGATTATAGTTAGACTTAAAATTTAGAACAGCTCTCCGTTCTCTGGACACAGTGAGGAAATGGAAATTACGCGAATATTTTTTTAAATTTTCAAAAACCTATCATTAAAAGCTATATGAAAAAATACGCCAGGAGATACGATATATATATATACATTATTCTTTTTTCCAAGTGTTTCGAAGGAGTGAAGAGAAAATTCAGATACATTTGAAATTCGATTTTGGGGTTTTATGTGAATTTTATTGTCTTAAATGAAAATTTAATTGATTCCTTTTTCGTTTTTGATCTCAAATGAACCAGGAGAACATATTAATCGACTTTTACGAAGCTTTAATTCATTTTCCCCTGATGAGTTCTGAATTGGAGTCTCAGTAAAAGGAGATCAATTTTTGTATTTTTATCTTGTATCTTTTTTTCCCTTTAGCATTCTTATTCTTCGAGTTTGTACTACACTGACTACCAATAAGTATTTGGACACCTGTGATAGAAAATAAAAACTAACTTTATTCAAAATCAATAGTTGGTACAGCCTCCACGAGAGGTAATTACAGCGTGTACCCTCCAGGGCATACTTTCCACAAGTCTTTGTTTGACAGCTAGTGGTATTTTCTTCCACTCGTCTTGGAGAAGACATAGAAGTTCTTTCACCGATTTTGCACGGGTAGTGCACCCCTGAATTCGGCGATGCAATTCGTCCCAGAGGTTCTCGATAGAGTTCAGGTCTGGACTCTGGGCAGCCCAGTCCATTCGATGAACTCCACTGGCACCATACCAAGCCTTAGTTAATGCCGAAACATGACAACTGGCATTATCGTCCTGAAAGTAACAGGGGTCCAACCTGTAAAACTGCAACAACATAGGAAGCACATTGTCATCCCAAATAGTGCAGTAGGCATCGGAGTTGAGCGTACCATGAATAGAGACCAAAGGTCCCAGCTCATACCAGGAGAAACACCCCCAGACCATAATTCCACCTCCGCCGCACTTGACTGTTGGCACAATGCATTCTGTCAGGAGACGTTCTCCAGGTAGACGCCAGACCCAGACCCTGCCATCCGAACGGTAAAGGGTGAACCTTGATTCGTCACTCCAAAGAACCCGTTTCCACTGATCTACGGTCCAATTCGATGTGCTTTGCACCAAATTAACCGAGCAGAGCGGTTGGACTTTGTGATCAAAAGTTTATGGGCAGCAGCACGACCATGAAAACCAAGCAGATGTGCTTCCTTACGGATGGTATTCATTGAAACAATACTCCCGAATGCCTGTTGAAACTCGTCGCGGATGAGGGCCATCAGTTGGGTGCGGTTCTTCCGAATTTATCTGGACAGCACTCGTCGGTCTCTATCTCCCAGTTTCGTTGGTCTGCCGACTCGGGGCACATTCCGACAATCACCGCTCACCTTCCACTTCTTAATCACATAGGCCACTGTCGATTTTGGGTACTTCAGATCGCTAGATATGTCCCTTAAGGATCGGCCACATTTGTGATACCCGATAATTATACTTTTCTCGAAATCAGAGAGCTCAACTGCGAGGCATCTTATATGCGACTAAAGCTGACGTCATTGTCATAAAGCCGATGCTGTTTCCTACACGATATATACCGGCGGAGTCCGTGACGTACCTTAGGACCGCAGATATCATCATTTGCATAGGTGTCCAAATACTTATTGGTAGTCAGCGTACTATGAATTCTTATTTTAATTTTTATTTGCTTAGATCTTGTGTTAAACCTCTTATGCACGGTGGCAATTATTAATATTGTTAAGGAATTGCCTTGCTTTAACCCCAATTTACTTTCACCTTTAGATGCTTTATTTTACTTCAATCCTGCAGCTGCAGCGCAGGACGGGTATAGAAGATTTGTTTTTAATTTTTCGCCTCTTTTTATGTTTCTTTGTATATTTATATACATACATAATATATATATATATAAATATTATCGGTAAGCACTTTTTTATATCAATGTCAGTTATAGAATTACTTAAAACTCTTCGTCTTCTACGAAAAGCGTTCTAAATTTTAACCTCCTTTTTTATTTATTTGATACTAAACAATTCATTTTATTGTTTCATTATAAAACAACTAAAAAAAAAAAAAAAAAAAAAAGAGAGAGAGAGAGAAACTATGTCCCACTTTATATACATTTATGTCCAGCCTTAAGAAAGAACCTACTCGTTTAATCAGTTCAGCATCTGCTATGGAATTATTATTATTTTTTTTTTGTATGTGTATTTAATCATGGCAAAGCACACGAGGGCTATCTGCCTAAGGGGAGGGATGCCTTCGTGGAGGACTCTCTAAGGGAAACTGGCCGTATACACGTTACACATGGGGAAAACCACGAAAGCGCCCATGCAACCAGCCCGTTCGCGGGATTCGAACCTCGGACCGAACTACCAGTGTTCAGCGACTTTACCGCTCGGCCGCTTGTGGGCCCCTATGGAATTAAACATACACGAAATTAAGTGCATAGTTCTGGCGCGAAATAAATATGAATAAAACAAAGCAAAATTTAGAACCATGCACCTTATTCAATGGCAAATTTTATACACAAAAAAAAATAATATAAATATTTAATAATACGTTGGATTTTCTTTTTAAACACCCCTGCGCAGTCTTCCAATGCTATTCCAATAAGCCTTATGGTTTGTCGCAATAAACTTTAAGCATTTGCGCCACCATCCATACTCAGCTAATACCCTTTAAAATGCTTGTTATGGCAGAGAGCAGTAAGAGTTCTGGCTGAAATTTTTAAAACAATGTCGAAGATCATTATATATTGACAGCATGAAGTTTTCTGGACTAGTTTAGTTTATGTAACTCAGTACGTTAGAGTAAATGAGCGCAAATTTGATTAAATGCATTATTTCCAAATAATATTGTGCTCTACAGCAGTGGTTCTCAACCTTTTGACTAACACGTACCATCTAAACAAAAAACGAAAATCTTTAGTACCACCACTGCATTTTACAATGATTGTTTTTCAATTTCTGAACAGAAATATTAAAAAAAAAATTTCTGAAAGCTTTCAGATTTTATATTACGCCCAAGTTTTTTTTTTTTTTTTTTTTTTTTTTTTTTTTATGTTTTATGTGTCACCTGAATTTACTAAATATCACGTTCTTCGCACTTAAACCATAAAATTCAATTCAACAGCAATATCACAAAATATTTAAAAGAATATATCTTTACAACTTACAGTCTCGCGTGCTGGAGATAACGTTTTTTTTTTTTTTTTTTTTTTTTTTTTTTTCCCCGCATAGTGTTGCCATTGCTCGCTTTGAAATCGTTGAGTTTGTTAAAGTGTTACAAAACATGAAATCTATAATAAAATAAATTCTAAATTAGAGCTTCCAATTTCCCATATTCGGTGGAGAATTCCGTTATTCAAAATTGGATGGCTCTAGGTATCGTTGTGTGATCACAGTGCAAAAAACATACATACATTTATGCAGATTTTTCATTATTTAATTTCTTTAAATATAACACAGGGCGATAATATCGGGTGGCTACAATTTGAAAAGTGAAACGGACATTTAAGTTTTCAACGCAAAATGCCAAAACGAAGTTAATGGCCCTTCTGGGCTAACGTCCTTTGGGCTAAAAAGAAAGAAAGAGTCAACACCATTTTTCGACAACACCATTAAATTTGAAAGCAAATATAAAATTATAAAAATCAAAATTTTGGCGATTAACCAATCGTCGAAATCAGTTGTCATTTTTCCGCTTAGTCGATCCTAGCCATTTTTCCATTTTGAAAATCTAGCTTTGTTTTATTATTTTTTCACAAATATTTAAATGCACAATATATTATGAGTTTTTCAAAAACAGACGACGATATTCTCAAATCATGTATAAAAGTAAGGAATACAAAGCGACAAGAAGACAAAATACCTGCAGTTAAAGATAAAATGATTCTCATTGAAAATGGAGCAATATGACCCCGGAAATGGTGAGATAAAGTGCTAATTTGCTAATAAATCAATAAACTAATGCTAATGAGTTAATGAGATGCTATTATCTTTTTTATAGGAACTTATTTTTATTTCCTATTAAATACAGCATTCATTTCTATCACGCGTGTTAACTGGTAAGAGAATAGTTGTGAAACGTACAACATGGAAGAACCACGAAAACTGACATGAAGACATATCGATCGCCTCAAGTCTATAAGCGGCTGTTGACTTTGAACAAAGCTCAGAACGCAAAAATTTATGAGTGTTAGTGAAAAACCTCAATCAGGATGTTGGGGTTTTAATTTTTGAATTTAATAGTTAAAAATACTTTGCTTCTTTGCGTACCACATATTTTTCTCTTGCGTACCACCGGTGGAGAACTCCTGCTCTACAGTATTCAGCACATTTTAGAATAAATTTATTTGATTAATTTTTCTCTGAGTGCATTACGCAGAGAAATCTTTTGCAGATCACACAATTCTTTTGATACGTCTTGATGTATTCTAAAGTTAATAATCATAATTTATTTTTAAAATGAATTTTTAAACTTCTATAGCTATTTAGCGCTCCTTCGAAATGTTCACCTGAGACAAGACAAGTTTGCTTCCCCCTTGTCCCGGCTCCGCACATAATATTAAACAAATCCGTTTATGTGAAAAGAATAAAGTTTAATTAAGTGTCGAATTAATGGAAATTATGAAAGACAATTGGGATAATCCAAAAAAATTACTGATGAAACATTCCTTTTAAAATTTAAGCTGCATCTCATGTACGAGGATATGGATTTGTCTACATCAATGGCATGTTAAAGTAAAGGAATATCCGAGGTTTTTAAATAGATACAAAAGCGTAAATTCTCATAAGCTGTTCCTTCATCAGTCCCGGGGTTTAAGTTGAGGATCATTCGGACGAAAGAACGATGTCCGTATTATTTGTCTGCGACCATGCGTTGGTCCTTCCAGAACATGTTCTTGCCCGTATGTCCATCCGTATTCCCAAGATGAACAGATGGGAAAATAGAATTTCTGTTCTGGTAACTCTTTGTAGCGTTCCCTCAGATAGTCAGCTCTTCCTGCGCCATAGTGACTCAGACCTGATAAAAATAAGAAGCTGTAGTATGCACATCAAAAGAGTACTAGTTGAAAGTCTTCTAGGGAGAATCATTGAATAGGTCCTAGCAAAAACTTAACTTTGCTTTTTCTACATTAGGGAATTTTTAAATCTAAAGCATAATGAATCTCTGTTGAAAAGTATATCGTAAAAAGTTAAACAGCTTTAGTTTTTATGCAATAAGTAACACAAGTACTACAATCTAGAAGAATCATCCTGTTATAAATTGTTACAGCAGAAAACAAAATTTTCATGAGCACATATTTACTTATGATATATTAAACTTTCAATTATCCAATTTTCTTTTTCCTCTACGTCTGATAAGAAAATTGGACAATTTTCATGATAAACGTAGGTAATCACGTACAGATGCTCTACGTTAAATCTTTTCGAGACAAGATATCTAGTCCAAAAAACGAATCCAGTTGAGAAAGATATTTAGTCCAAAAAGGCGAATGATAATCCTTCTTTGATTCTCCGTACCTCAATCCTTGCGAATTTTTCTTTTCTTAAGTTTTTTTTTTTTTTTTTTTTTTTTTTTTTTTTTTTTTTTTTTTTTTTGTACTGTCGTTGTATTTTGACATTGATAAAAAAAAGCCTCATTCTTCATGCCGCAGTACCAGTGACATCGGAGATCACTTCAACGGGAGTGGATTGAAATGCATTACAAATGGAATGCATATGCAGCATGTCAAAAGGATCATACATTGAGCATATGTAATGTGCGACAAGAAATTTTAATAAGTAAAGTTTGTAGAGACATTAGGATTATTTGAATGCAAGAGACTTGAAAATGAGCAAACGCATTCGCCGGGAATCGAACCGCGGACCTATGGATACGCGCCCAGCTTGCAGGCCACCACACAACGAAGGCAGGAGAAATATCTTATATACTCCCCTTTTAAAGGGCGACTGGAGTTTCTGGAACCTAGTCGCCAAATCCTGGTGGTGAAGCATCATCATTAACCACCTTTTAGTTCGAGCGCCACTGTAGAGAAATTAGCTACTTCTTTTTTTTTTTTTTTTTTTTTTTTTTTTTTTTTTTTTTTTTTTTTTAAGCAGGAGAGATGAAAAATGAGCAGTTCCCTCGCCGGGACTCGAGCAGTTCCCTCGCCGGACTGACTTCTCGAGCACGCACCAAAGCGTGCTGACCACTGCACCACAAAGGCATGCTAAGAAGGCGGGAGAAATACCTCATACACTAACTGTGTGAAGTACATTTGGTTATTCAGAAAGAATATAATTTTGAATGAAGATGATGCTTCGACATAATAAATACGAATTTTTACTAATTTTTTATAAACTTTTTTGAAATATTACACATTTTTTTACGATACCAAATTCTACCAATTATTTGCAAATGCGCTTCAGTAATTAGCTTTTTATTAGGTTTGATTCTTAGAAAAGCTAAATGCGTAGAGGAAAATTTGTTTTACCGCATATGGCTAATTTGATACTTCTGTCTTTTTCTTCAGAATGATTAATATCAGACTTGCTAACCAATTATAAGTTGATTCCTCCTATTACGCGATGTAACGTGCTTTTAATGGCAGAAACTAAACAGTATTATTCAGCTACGTAACGAAACGAAACGGTAACTCAAACTCCGGTGCGAACACCCTACCGAAGTTCTCACAGACTTCAACTGACAATCTGGTTCCCTTGCGAACGGAATAAAACGAGGAGCGGTAGCCTTCATTTATTTAACACATGTTAAAGTACTGCCCTACGCAAGTTTATGCTCAAAAAAATATATATAAAGAAATAATGCTATGCACAAGAAGTTAGTTATCAACACTACTAGGATTTAACGGGCTTTCTTACTTTGTAGCAATTCCTATAAATGCAAAACATAAAACTGAATCAGTAGTTTTCTCAAGTAGAATGAGATTTTCTTAATTCGGGGAGACTTTTTCGGCAGTGTTTGAAAATATTTCCTTGAAACTCACAAAATATAATAAACTATTATGAATACAACTTTACCACTTTAGTGTCTCTGTTACTTGGGATAGTCTACAAACAGTCACAACCTTGGTGGGTTGTAATTGTTTTTCTACATAGCAGAACATGTGTAGATAAGAAAGTCTACAAAGTCTACATATGCGCATTCCTAAACAATATGAACCTCAAGTCATTTAAGCACTTCCACGCTTACTGTTGCCTTCTGTCTTTCAATTATTTTAAACACATTTAAAAGAAAACCGTTCACACTCATTATCTAATATAAATTTATGTATGGAAATATGTTAAAATTAATAAAGAAACGAACAAATATAAGACAAGCTTTTTCAAATATGTATGTTGTTTAAATATTTTCTAAATGTTGTTGGCGTTCAGGATTTATTTTCTAAAATTAGAAGTGTGAAAACCCTTTGAAGAGCCATTAAAAAAACCACGAACAAAAATATATAAATCGATAAAATAATTAATAAAACAACAAATAATGAATAATTAAAATTAAATGTACAGAAGTAAATAAAAATGTTAATGTTAATAATAATAATAATAATAATGTTAATAATAATAACTTAATCATAATAAATGTTATGGTAAAATTGAGAATCAGTTATACAACGAAGTAGTGGAGCTTGGGACTCAAGCATAAATTAGATTTCTCTCAAAAATATGAAATACCAGATCCGGGTTCTGGTGGACTTGACTTGAATTCTCTCTTGGGAAAATGAAAATAAACTACGAAAAATATACTCTTACTTTCATTACAGATGAAATTTTCGAAAATCAATCATACGTAATACTGAAATAAATAAAAATTTACTAACTAAAAAGAAACCTTATATATACATTTATCTTATATATACACTGAAGAAACAGCATGGATAAATGAGTCGGATGATTTTTACTTTTTGAGTATCATTTTATTCAAGATGTGAACTACAAAATTTTGAAGTTCTAAGCGTTTCTTACAATAATTTAATTTAGATTTTATATAATTTTATATAATTTAATTCATATATTAGATTTTATAAGTCCTCCATACAATAATATGGGTTGGCTAGGCCTAACTTAACCTAAGTATCATATAAAAAATCAAGAAAATAGAAGGAAATTGTGTATACTTAATCGAAACTATAAATGGCTTATTTCCACAAAATTTTTAGACATTATTGCAATAAACTGCATTATCTTCGATAGATTTTTTAATTCAAAAATATTAAGAAGGTGTAAAATTAATGATATATAACAATTTTAGGCTTATCGACTTTATTAAACAATCAAAAGGTCTAAAAGACAAAACTGGAAGAAAAAGTGACAATGCTAAATTTTAGATTATGCAAAAAAGGCAGGGTTAATTTGGCGTAGATTTTGAATAAAACTCTATTTATATCAAGGGCTATCAGAGGTAGGTTCGAATAATAATAAAATATTACCTGTGGAATAATAATAAAAACTGAAAAATAAAGATATTATTAGAATTCTCAAGGAGTTAGGAATAATTGGATTGGAATTACGATCATTAAAGACGAAGGATAAAATTTTGTGAATATTTCATATTTCAATTGGCCACTAGCTGTTCATGTATCGGAAATGGAAGTTTTTCTATGGCCACTCTATACTACATATTTTTTGCAAACGCATTTCTTAAGTGTAATATGCATTTACAAAATAAGAAGTCTGCTATTCTTCCGGAATGCGATTGCTCCAAGTCATGGTTAATGGACAAAAAATCTAGTTTTTAGAATAAAATAATAACATACAGCTCCTGTTTTTTTTACTTCCTTGTACGAAGTAAAGGAAGTATTGTATTCGCAAAAATATTCGGGTGTTATATTTTAACGAAAATATCCATTTTGACCGCTAAAGAATGCAATTAATTTATCGATGTTTTTGGGTAACGTAAGGACAGAATAAAGGAATCTTTCTTCCCAAAACAGGTTTCAAAAAGGATTTAAAATGGATTCAAAACAGATATTTTTGTGACATCTGTCTACGTACACCGCGGAAAAAAAAAAAAAAAAAAAGAGAGAGAGCCAGTTCCGTATCTACCTTTCTACTGGACCGATTGACGAAATTCAAACTGCGTTCATATCTCGAAAGCGAGGCTTAGGATATGTATTAGATTTATATAATTATTTAGCTTCTCTCATTGGCCACAGCTTAGACCCATCTCGCAGGTGTGAACGAAACTCCCGGATTTTATGCCCTTTACTCAGCCGTCTGAATGCAGCCTTAAGGACCGTCCGAACTCTGTATTAGAGTTATACACCGACTACCAATAAGTATTTGGACACCTATGCAAATGACGATATCTGCGGTCCCAAGGTATGTCACGGACACCGCCGGTATATATCGTGTAGGAAACAGCATCAGCTTTAGTCGCATGCAAGATGCCTCGCAGTTCGGAGCTCTCTGATTTCGAGAAAGATATAATTATCGGGTATCACAACTGTGGCCGATCCTTAGGGACATATCTAGCGATCTGAAGTACCCAAAATCGACAGTGGCCTATGTGATTAAGAAGTGGAAGGTGAGCGGTGATTGTCGGAATGTGCCCCGAGTCGGCAGACCAACGAAACTGGGAGATAGAGACCGACGAGTGCTGTCCAGATAAATTCGGAAGAACCGCACCCAACTGATGGCCCTCATCCGCGAGGAGTTCAACAGGCATTCGGAAGTATTGTTTCAATGAATACCATCCGTAAGGAAGCACATCTGCTTGGTTTTCATGGTCGTGCTGCTGCCCATAAGCCTTTGATCACAAAGTCCAACCGCGCTGCTCGGTTAATGTGGTGCAAAACACATCGAAATCGGACCGTAAATCAGTGGAAACGGGTTCTTTGGAGTGACGAATCAAGGTTCACCCTTTACCGTTCGGATGGCAGGGTCTGGGTTTGGCGTCTACCTGGAGAACGTCTCCTGCCAGAATGCATTGTGCCGACAGTCAAGTTCGGCGGAGGTGGAATTATGGTCTGGGGGTGTTTCTCCTGGTATGAGCTGGGACCCTTGGTCCCCATTCATGGTAAGCTCAACTCCGATGCCTACTGCACTATTTGGGATGACAATGTGCTTCCTACGTTGTGGCAGTTTTACGGGTTGGACCCCTGTTACTTTCAGGACGACAATGCCAGTTGTCATGTTTCGACGTTAACCAAGGCTTGGTATGGTACCAATGGAGTTCATCGAATGGACTGGCCTGCCCAGAGTCAAGACCTGAACCCTATCGAGAACCTCTGGGACGAGTTGCATCGCCGAATTCAGGGGTGCACTACATGTGCAAAATCGGTGAAGGAACTCCTATGTCTTCTCCAAGTCGAGTGGAAGTAAATACCACTAGCTGTCATACAAAGACTTGTGGAAAGTATGCCCCGGAGGGTCCACGCTGTAATTACCTCTCGTGGAGGCTCTACCAACTATTGATTTTGAATAAAGTTAGTTTTTCTTTTCTATCAGGGGTGTTCAAATACTTATTGGTAGTCAGTGTATATAGCATCATTCTAACAGAGGTATGACTCAAAATCGGACTTTTTCTGAAATAACATACCAATTTTTTTTCCATATCTCGATTCTACGACTCAAATTATGTCTAAAATTTAATTTTGTAAAATCTGGCGCGAAATTTACGGAGAAATTCAAAAATTTATCTTGGTGCCTTTTTAATTTTTTTTTTTTTTTAGTTTGCGCCAAGAATAATTCACTTGGCGAACTTCTTATTTTCCTTTCCTTTCTTCCATTGTCCGCGGGAGGAAAAAAAATCATCGTTCATACATCATACTTTCAAATAATTTTAACAGAGTGCGCTAACCACATTTTCGTTGTTATCGCTTATAATAAATACGTCAAACTTCAAAACGCGCCAAAATGTAAATTCACGTATATCTTAGAAAATTTTGAATAAAAAAGTATAATTTTTTGCAGGTATGATTAGAAATACATCTACTTTAATATGATGGTAAAAACTGTTAAAATATTTGGAAAAAAAATGTGATTTATAGTTTATAAATCAAAATTTTTTTCGAAATATTACGGCAAAAATTGTATAGTTTATAAATCAAAATTTTTTTCAAAATATTAATAAAAATGATTTAAAAATACAAATTTTAAAAATAAATCATAAAAATTGGCGAACTTTATTTGGAATGAACATAAATTTTGAAATATGAAAGGAACAATCAGTAAGTTTAATAAAAGAAGAGGGATTAATAAATATATACCAAATTGAATTAACACTGAGAATCTAAAATTTTGAGAGCTAATTTTTTAAAAAAGACTCATGCGATTTTTACAAAACTTGACAATTGGGCATAATTTGAGTCGTAGAATCAAACTATGGAAAATATTTAACATGTCATTTCAGAAAAATTTCGATTTTATGTCGAAATCCCTATGTAACAATGCTATATATAAATCTAATACATACCCTAAGTCACGTTTTCGAGACATGTAAAGCGCAGGTTGAATTTCGTCAATCGGCCCAATGGATTGGGAGATATAGAATGTCCCCTTTTTTTGCGCAGTTGTACGTATGTACGTGTGCATGTACCTCGCATACCTCAAAAACGAGTAGCCTCAGTACGTACATTTAGTTGTGCACCTCTTTTTTTGGTTCCAATCGGACTCACCAAATGTGTATACATATACCCACTCTGTTACTCGGCTCCGTGAAGTCAGTTTTTCTTTTATTCTTATATGTTGGTAAATTGTGCATTTTTTTGCTTTAAAAATGATTGAATTATATTGTGCTTATCTTCCGGTTACGATTTTTATGCCTTTACTTAATCTGCATGCAATAGATGTAGAATTATCAACAATTTAAAAGTTGTTTAAAAGTACGGCTAAGCCTAATTTTTTCCTACCATAGCAGCCATATTTGTTTACATTTGAAACTTAGCAGAATAGTGAATTAACTCTGTTTCTGCACCTTCAGTGTCTTTTTGGCGAGTGGGATCGAAAGTAAACTTTTAGTTTTGTGCACCAAAAAAAATCTACCTTCTTCCACGTTGGCCGAATTGCTTGTTTTTGCGTAGAAACTCTAATTTTAATTATAATTTTTTTAGTTGTTTTAATTTATTTGGTGTGTTATATTTTTCTGTATTTTTTAATTTTAATAAAGATATTTTGAGGTTTCGTGTATTTTTGTCTTGTCGCGAAGTGAGAACTGAATTAATTGAATGAGAAATGTATCTCCAATGAAATTCGGGAAAATAAGTTTAAATGAAATGCACGAAAAAATGCGTATAATTTAATATTCCGCACAAGGAAGTCAAGTGGCGTACACATCAGATTTTTCTTGATTCAGAAACAGCTAGTTTATCTATCGAAAAATATCGAAAAGTGCATTATGAAAAGGAATTAATACCAAACCTTTTAATATTTAACATCACTATTGGGGCTTTTATTAACCTGAGCAGTGTTGAGTATACATCTATTAAAACAGAACCTATAATCGCAGATTGTTTTCCTGTCACCATAATTCAAAAAGTTAACAGTTTTACTTGCAATAATAGTAGCAGCATAAATTCCGACATTAATTCCTCCATCATGATTTAATTATTAGTTAATTTAAATTTAATTGCATTATTCCCAACTACAACTTACCTTTATAAAGGCGCCTTTTCACTTTAGTTGGAACAGGTTTCATAGGTTTCGGAAGTTCAACGATTTCTGGTGTCTCGTCTTCGAGAATGGGTGGCAACTGCCTCTTGATTTCTGAAGATGCTTCGCTAACTGGTTCAGTCTCTTTTTCTGGAACAAAGTCTTCATCATCGTCATCTGGTTCATCATCCCAGAGACACGACTCTTCGGTGGGTTTCCGGCCATGCACTAAGTGCCACTGTACGCGTATCTAGCACCAAATATAAAAAATGTTCGTGGTTTTAGAACAATTCAATATCCATTTGGTTCTTATCACTTTGAAAAGATTTGGCTCCTAGGCCTATTTTACACTATTAGAACACTGATATTAATTTCTTTCACAAAAATGTCAGTAACTACTTTTTTTTAAATTTATGCAACTACTATTACACTTACAGCAGTCTGTACATATTTATGATTACTATTTTTCAACTTTGATTTTTCAACTACTTACACAGAAAGGACTTCGTCATTCTTGCAAAGCTTTAGGACTTTGTAATATTCTTAACTGTGTGTGTAAAAATTTAACATTGTTAAATGCAAATTTGTATTTCAGGTTTACCTCACCCATAATAGTGCTCTGACCAATCACATAGCTCGCACTAGTTAGGTATCTCCAACCTCAATGTCTCATTTACCTTCGCTACTCTCATTCATATCCTGCCTCCTGCCTGAACGGTCAGGTGTGTGTTATCATTCGCTCACCATTTCGGTTCTCTTACCTTATTATGAAAGTATTTACTTCACCGCCTTCTATAATCCGCCACAGAGCCCGTTAACTGAAAAAGGACGCTCAATAATGTTCTTGATTTAAACAAGCAGGTCATACTCGTGGGTGATCTAAACGTGAAGAACACTGAATGGTTCTGTAGGAAAACAAACCGCAACGGAGAGAATTTGTTTGAAGATATCAACAGGTGCCCTGTCTACCTTCGACAACAGAATTCACCTACCTTCTGGATATTCCTGGAAGAGGCGATATCTTAAACGTTTTCCTAACTACTACTACCATTCCTATTTATCTGGAAGTTCTGCATGAATTAGACTCGGACCACTTCCCTGTCATCGCCACCCTCGACACGAACTTAGAAAATGATTATCACAAAATTACTGACTGGAAACTTTTCAATCAGTTTCTTAGTGAAAACCCGTCTGTGTTCAATAGTCTCACTCAGGACATTGATGTTGCTGTTTACCAACTCACTATGAAAATTCAAGAAGCGTACAATAAGGTGACTAGAAAAATACCCAGTGAACATTTTCCAGATAAGCTGCCGACGTACATCAGGCAACAAATCAAAGAGCGCAACAAACTTAGAAAGCATTTCCACTTAACCTGGGACCCAAACACTAAGAAAAGATTAAATAAGCTCACTAGATGCATTAAGAAAATGATTGTCACTCACCGAAAAGAGCTTTGGGATGACAAAATCACTAGTTTCAATGAACCGAACAATGACTTTTGGTCTTTTATTAAACGACTCAAGAATAAACCTACTGTGAATAAACCTATTTGAGTCAATAACAAAATTGCTTTAACGAATCTGGATAAAGTTTCCGTCCTTGCTGAGCACTTTGAAGCTCAATTTAAACCTAACATAAGTCCTTGTGACTTTGACTTCGTCTATGATGTCAGGTACTGTGTAAAACAATGGCTTGACACTCTTAAAATAGATGCTAATATAGAGTTCACCTCACCCAACGAAGTAAACGATATCATTAAAAAGTTACTTAACAGAAAGGCTCCTGGCTTTGATGAAATCAACAATGTTGCTATTAAATGGTTACCTCCTGGAATAATTTCAAGACTCACTGGAATTATTAACGCATGTCTGTATAACACTTATTTTCCGAGACAATGGAAGGTCGTAAAAATGATCGTCTTACCTAAGCCAGGCAAGGATCTGAAGAAACTTAAGGGATATAGGCCGATCAGCTTGCTCCCCGGTTTGGGGGAGATTCTCGAAAGAAGAATACTTAATAGGCTTCAACCTCATATGAATAAACTCCCAGTGGAACAATTTGGGTTCTGTAAGTCACTTTCCACTACCAAGCAATTAGTCAGATTAAACAAGTTTATAGGCGGTGCCCTTCACAATCGACAGAATGTTGCCTTACTCATGTCTTTCCCTACGTCTAGCATAGACGTGGGAAAAGCCTTCGACCGCTTCTGGCATGATAGGCTAATTTTCAAACTTATCAGCGTAAATTTCAGTAGAGAGCTATAATACTCATTCTACACTCGTTTCTTAAAGGACGCAGATTTTTTGTCAACAGACTCTCCCGAGAGTAAGATAATTCATGCTGGCGTCCCCCAGGGGTCTATTTGGGACCCGTTATCTACCTTTTCTACATGGCTGACATACCCAAAATCAGCGCGGACCATAATTTCTTCCTGGGCTGCTACGCGGACGAAACAGTAGTTGCTGTGAAGTCAGCTAGTCAAGATCTTGCAGTTGACAAACTCCAGAACTTCACGCTGCACCCTGAGCATTGTTGCACAAAATGGAGAGTGGTAATTAACGCTGATAAATCTCAACTGTTAATTATCAAAAGAAGAAAAACTCCAGAACTCTTCCAGCTACCAAACTTAAGCTTTTCAACATGGATGTTCCTTTAGTTACAAAAGCAACCTATCTTGGAATTAAGTACACTGAAAACTTGAAATGGTCTGAGCCCATAAAGTATGTAAGAAGGAAAACTGTAGGAGTCATTCAAAGGCTGACACCACTGTTGGATGCAAACTCGAAATCGGACTTACGCCGCAAAAGGCACATTTACATTGCCATTATTAGGCCGATTTTTGCTTACGCGTCGCCTTGGGCTTCAGCCCGGAAAAGAGATCTTCAGAAACTGCAGATCACCCAGAATAAGCTTCTGAGGATTATGACTAATGCACATTACCTGGTCTCAAATAATACACTTCATAGGGACCTAAAATTCGAGACGGTTGAAGAGTAGCCGCATAAGATGAACGATAACTTTTTTATGGGAGAAACTGTGAACACTTCAAGGAGCTCAATGTTTTAACTTGCGTTTTTCTCACGGAAAACTCTGATATTTGACCACTCGCGGCCCACCTCACCCGCGATCAAATTTCCCTACTTAATTTTACATTGTACTTTCAGCTACTGCAATTATTGTTTTCAATTCGTATTGCATCTTATTTTTATTTTTGTGCTTTATAAAATTTTTGTATCTCATTTGATATTTAACTGTATATAACTACTTACATTTTGACTGTTTAATGTATTGTATCATCTGTTCTTTAGACATTTGTATTTATATGCGTGCATGTAATTTTGATGAATTAATTTGTATCTCATATTTTATTTGTCATAACCTGTCCTTATTCCTGCTTAGTGCAGCGCATACATGCAGTTCAGCTTCACTTTCTCACCGCTCAGTCTGATCTTTTCCACTTGTTCACGGCCGAGCGGTAAAGTTGCTGAACACTGGTAGTTCGGTCCAAGGTTCGAATCCCGCGAACGGGCTGGCAGCATGGGTGTTTTCGTGGTTTTCCCCATGTGTAACGTGTATACTAGCCAGTTTCCCTTAGAAAGTCCTCCACGAAGGCATCCCTCCTCTTAGGCAGATAGCCCTCGAGGCTTTGCCATAATTAAATAACCTAACCTTTTCCACTTGTTCGCTTTGTCTTGGCCTGTGATGCATTATCACCCCCCTTTCTCTCTCTCGCCTATGACTTTTAATTTGCCCGCTCGGACTCTACTACTGTCATGTGCCCTCTGGGCCTTTTATCATGAGATGGAAAGGTCGCGCTCCACGCGATATATCGGCATTACTTGTATACAGATACTCATTCATATCGACTGCTGCTGGCCAGTGGCGTAGCGAAGGGGGGGCAAGGGGGTGTATGATGCCCCGGGCGCCGCTCGCAGAGGGGCGCCAAATGGTCTCCAAACAAGATTTTCCGGAAAATTTCAGTTTTTAGTTTGATTGATTTCTGGAAAATATATTTAAAATTAATAATTTTTAAATTACAATTAATTAGTAATATTATATTCTCAGTAGTATTATATTCTCTTTAGTAATATTATATTCTCATTGTATATAATATTATATTATTAATAAATAATATATCAACTTATCTATAATACATATAAAACTTTTAATTGTTTAAAATTGTACTTTTTTAAAACAGTTATATGTAGAATAAATAATAACGTTTAATAATTCTAGATCATCGTATATCTGCTTTTTTCGCCGGCACAGATATATTTGTAGCGGTTTGCTACATCATTGACAAATAGTTGCCTCTCAAAAATACTCCAAAGTCAATAACGATTCATTAAAGACTCAAGTTGTTTAATAAAACACATTTATTAGACGTAAGCACATCGAAACTCAATATGTGCATCGTTAAATATCACAAAAAGATGCATTTTCTTCTTACAACTTAAGAACAGAGCATAAAAAAATTATTCTTAAAATTAAAAAATTCTGATGTGCACACCACATGACTTCCTTGTACGGAATATTAAATTATGCGCATTTTTTTTTTGCATTTCATTTAAACTTATTGGATTGAATTAAATCTACTTCGCCTACAGCGCATAAACCGCAATAGAATAAATGCATTCTTTAAAATTCACTCTAGTATTTGTTTACCATAGGGACACTCTGGCGCTAGATTCACATAACAGTATTTTGTTTCATTCATATTATAACTCATAATGCACAAAATTTATATCATTTAAAAATAGAATTATCTAATCGTTGCCACATGCTCTATTCAAATACTATAATAAGCTAGGATGATGTATAAAAGAAATTAAGCAAACAAAACAAAAATGTTTTTCACAGACGATTGAGTATTTCTCATTCAATTAATTCAGTTCTCGCTTCGCGAGAAGGCAAAAATAGATAAAACTCTCAAAATATCTATATTAAAAATTACGAAGTAAATCTTAAAACACTTATTTCCTCGAAAAAAAATTTCGGAAAGGATTAAGCAAGATTTAATTTGCAATAATAAATGAAGGCGATATCTTTGTTGTTGCGAAGCTAAGTTTCTATAGATGGGCAATAGTCTGCTGTTTCAAATGTAATGTTTCAATGTTTTAAATGGCCGATTTTGCATTCGTTAAGAAACTTCATAATTTTGTTCATAGCAATTGCCACGTAGGTGTGCTTTCGCTAATAAAAGTTTTTTAATGTGTCATCACTAATATTAAATCTAAATTTAGTCCT